AAGTTGAGGGGTGAGAGCTACATGTAGCCTGCGTAGCTGGCCGGTTTAGCGTGGGGGTGCTGTATTGTTTTGACGGCAGAGCCGCACAGAAGAGTGGGGATAATGTCAAATGAATGTACTTCCCCTTGCGGTTTCTCTGACCACTTCGCTCTTCGTGGTCGCCGAGAAAGTACCCCGGGCACCAGAATCCTGCCAGCTATGTAGGCTAGGTGAGAGCTCGAGTGAGAGATTGGTAGGGGGGAGGCGAGGTTAGTTGTGGATGTAATACCATGCAATGCCATAGAGGCCCTTTTAAGGTAGAATTCCGAAAAGCGACATGGCCTTGAAACAGCAACTACAGTGACAAAGAAAAGCGCAAATACAATAGTAAAATACCAAAAGCAACATGGCTTCCTCTGTAATAGTAAAATACACAAAATGATGGGTTTTTGAAATTCAGAGTAGGGAAATAAGGTACCCCCCCCCTCCCCCCCTTCCTTGATGAACAGTAATCAAAAACGAAGGGAACCAATCAAAGTTTCAGAGCACTTAAAAAGACTCGCCATCTTCTATCTTAACAAGGGTGACAACACTTTATCAGGTTCTTACCTAAATAAATACAAGGTAATCTATTTTCTCTTGCAATCTCCTGGGCTCTCACGTGCTTCTTAACTGTAATCGGGTAATATGTTCCACCCTTAACGGTGGCATCATTAGCTACAATCATACATTCCACCCTAAGAAAAAAAAATGGTGAATTAGGTTAACGCTAATCAGTCCTGTTCAAATGAACATGTATACATGTAGATCATCAAACACTTCACAAATTGAGTCAAGAGCTGATAAAAAGGCATATTTTGGTCTGAAAAACAGTGTAATGTTTTTGGATATACATTAATTTTGTAAACACTTGCCTCAATTTGCATTTTTTGATTTTGCCCCAACCACATTCCTGCAGATGTTATGAACATTAATTTTGCTGGACGAAATTCAACTTTAACCAACAGGTCAAACATGTAAATTTAATACTTACGCTTTCACCCTATAACATGCATATTTTTTTTTTACTTACTTGTTGCTGTTCAATATTTTTAATGTTATTTATTATATTATGGATGTACGTTTTGTTGATATATATTATTTCTTATTAATAATCTCTTTTGACTAATGAATGATGTTGTGACCAATATCATATCATAACATATCTTGTCTTAAAACCGTTGTTTTACTTATGAAGCCAATGTCTTTTAATCACTTGAACCAGTCTTAAACTTACATACCCCGAGACTCGTCCAATTCCAGTTATTATACCTCCAGCAGGAACTTCTTCATTGCCATATAACTTATGACCAGCCAGTTGAGATAGTTCAAGAAATGGAGACCTAAATAATTATTTCAAACTGATGCATTAAATTAAGATACAGTTGAACCTTAGTGACCACCCAAAAGGCTAAGATTTAGTGGTCGCTTATGAAAATCAAACCACATTGAGTCCCTTCTGAGAATAGGTCTCGAGACATCTCCTTCTCAGAAGAGAAGTTAATGCATGTTATTTCTTAGTTATGATATGTGCAGTTCCATCAGTCACAAAAGTTCTTTGCGTGATTTGTATAGTGTAGTATGTACAGTGAAAATAGTAATCAGACCATGAAACAAGTGGTCACCATCTTACGAGAGATTAAAAACAATCAATGGAAAATTGTGAAACATTTAAGCCCAAGAGTTATTGAAGTTGATTACAAGAGGTGGTTGTTTATGAAAGGCTTTGACTGGCAAAAATTTGGTGTTTGGATAGGTGGTCGCTTATGAGAGGTGGTTGCACATGGTTCGACTGTAGAGCTTTGCGTAAGAACAGAAGTCAACACTATCTTAAAGGTCTCTTGAATACCAGAAATGTAAATGAGCTGAAGAACATATGCTTGATTCTTACCCTGGGTCTAACAAACAGGATATTCTATCTCTAGGAAGCATTTTTCCTTTTGAAGTGTGTCGCTTTCTAGCTTTTTCATCTCCACCTAAAAATGAATCAGAACCCATTTAGTAATTCAAAGAGCTAGGCAAATAATTTGTTTCTCGAAATATCTAAAGGTCGTAATTGTTCATCAGTAGGCAAAAATATTCTACAATTGGTTTCAGCGCCATTAAATCCATGCCAATTGTAGAACATTTTAGGAGGAGCCACCCACAATGTAAGCACAGTTACTGACAAGGTATATGAGTACGAAAGGGTGTTAAAAGGAGACAGGAGAGTACTTACTTAAAGAAAGAAGAAGAAGAGAGTATATTGTTGTATCATTTTTCTAACCCGATTTTCGAAGAATGTGTTGGGAGTAAAAATAAAATTTGTTGTTTGCATGTATCTTTTCAACAGGTGGAAAAAGGTATACTGAGTTTAAGGGAGATGAGATACAAAGACTGAAGAAAAGCCCTTCTAGTTCTAAAATCATTCAAGAAAAATTCTCAGATTTCACTTGTGTAAAAACTGACAGAGCCATAAATGTATGGCTGGAAAGGGTTTATTTGATTGGTCATATCATGGGATCGAGTTTGTACACAATCTACTAGCTCTGGGACCTTGGGGTCTGGCACTAAGTGTCTATCTTAGAGTCTTTATAGAGATAGGTCTGTCTTATAGAGAGACAATTAAAAGGACTGAAGAAAGGCAGGGACCAAGTCTAAGTGTCCATTTCTACAGAGGTGGCCGTCTTATAGAGGTGTCTTTTGAGAGAGACAACTTTAACAGGGAATTAATTAAACCCACCTATCCCTTGCTGCCATGAAGGTTTCATTTTTATTAAATACTTGGGACAAATTTTAATTCATTTGGTGTTCAGATCTGATATTGTTGGAAAACTTGTAATTATTTCTTGTTATATGGTGTCTTTTTCAAGACTGTTTTCACACTAAGTCATGCGTCCACTTTGATCATATCAAAGTTGACTGAGCAATGTGTGCCATAATATGAATTCCATTTTAAAAATGATGCCTGGCAACAAGAAATAATTTTTGTAACAATTATTGTTACAAAGCTTCTTACAATATCAGATCTCAGTTGATCACTGAAAAGACAAAAAAGCTACATTGTCAAAACAATGACTAAAGCTTCAATTTGTTTATGTACACGTCTGAATTTATTTTCAAGATTCATAATATTTATTATTATGAATCTAGAAACCAAAAACCTTCATACATATCTATTTGTTTTTCCTTTTGCGTAATATTCATTATCATAACTTGAAACAATGGGGGGAAACATCAGCAATTTCTTAGCAAAACAAAATGAAAACTCAAGATACGCACCAAGTTTAATTTTGCCAACAGTTTTCTCCAAGTCTTGAACAACTGAAGCCATCCTTGCTTTGTTGTCCTGTTAGGCCAACATGATTGAAACAGGGATAATTTTAGCTTTATGTATGTCTCCTCACAAAATGCTATTAAAGCTAAGATAAACTTAAAAGAGCTCAGAACAGTCAGAACTTTGTATAAATAGCTGAGTTCTATACATTAAGCAGTAAACAGGCTGTTCCACTGGAAATAGAAGCATTGATAAAGAAAGAAAGAAAGAAAGAAAGAAAGAAAGAAAGAAAGAAAGAAAGAAAGAAAGAAAGAAAGAAAGAAAGAAAGAAAGAAAGAAAGAAAGAAAGAAAAAAGGTGGTGAGAATGATCTTTTAGCTAATTGGTTTGATAAAATATGAATTCTCATTTCTGCATTTACTCTCAAATTTGTTTTCCTGTTGAGCAATGTAGAACTATCAGAAAATATTGATGTTCCCTGGCAAACAAAGATTGCAGCAAGGGGAATATCCTTTTTACATACATGGAAATTGTGAATGGACCTTGTTCTTGATTTACCTAAAGTGATATGATCTCATCCACATCACAGCTGAGTGATGCATGGGTGTATTTGGGGGTGTGTCAGTGGGAGTGACTAAACAAAAAGAATCAGCACATGCACAATAGAATGTTAAATTTTGTTAACTCATCTGGTATGCGTGATTAAACAATTTAACGAAACTGGCAATAATAAATTTGGAATCATCGAATATTGTGTACAGTGAAACTAGCCAATCAAATAAACTACTTTAATACTTTTATGATGTATAAAAGATTCTCAGATACTAATTTGATCGGAGCTTCAATTTTCTCTCCGCAAATTTAAAATTCTACCAAACTCTAGTTTTGTTAACGCTTTGGATAACAAATTTCTTAGAAGCTACGTAGAAGAGTCATAAAACATAAATTTTACATGAACAAGTGTATAAATTCGAACCTGAAACTCAGAAGAATTTTGAGCCGGTGTTCCAATGACAGCCGCACGTGAAAGATCATGATATCGAGACCTTTGGGCCGTCAGAATCCAATAAATATGTCTGCTATTTCGTTGCAAAGCTCTGAAACTCCTCATGTTGACGAAAAAAACAAAATAAGTATAGAGTGAAGACTAACGCTTGTCCGCCATTTTGCCACGTGCAGAGATAGTACTGGTCAGCGGGCTATGAATTTGAATAAGGATTACATGGCGTATGATTACCAGAAAACAAATCAAAACAAAATGGCGGACAGTTATGTGCAAGACGAACTCACCAGACTTCGATTGAAACTAGTTGAAGAAGTAAGTCGAAATTTCATCACATGATTTTGGGGGATATAGAAGGAAACCTTTAATAATTCTTTTCACTGTTCATAGAAAATCAGAGGTCAATCAAGCTATGGAATGGGCGCTAGTTACTACAGCTCCCCTTCAAGTTCAAACGCTGGTATAAAGCTTGTACCTGTTTTGAGTATTTTTGATTAATTAATTTGGCTCATATTTTGCCGTTGTTTTGCTTTAGTCCAATCAAAATTTTCTTATAATTTATAACGTAGGAATTCAACAGCTTCTACAAGCAGAAACTCTGAAGAGTGAACAACTTCTCCAAAGAGTTAAAGTAAGAACATAAAGAAGAGCTCACTTTCCGAGCTATTTAAATTTTGAGGGGCCATTGTCTTTAACTTCTGAACCCTTCCTCCTCTATCAAGGTACAATTTTTAATGTTATTCATTACGAAAAACAATGTTCAACGTGCCAACACATTTTTCCGCCTTCAGAGAGAGGAAAATGTGTTCAAGAGTTCGACTGCACTGACATGCAACTATCCATTCCAATAACCCTTAACCCCCCAATAAGGTAGGGCATGCAGACATTAAATAGAAAGGCTCAAAATGTTTTCTAGCCCACGAACACACCTGAAGAGATTTTTTCCTTCACTCACTATTTCCTGCATTTCTCACCATTTTTGATTTTGAAGGCAGAGGAAGATTGGGGAGAGTAGAGAGTGGGAACATCAGGGTGTGCACAATGCTAAAGGATAAAGTGGGTTTCTCACCTGTCTCCTTACCATGTCCTCATCCTAGGTAACTCCTGTGACTCATGCAACAGAATCAACCCCCACACTCCAAAAAAATTTTGTTTGTCCTACGGTTATTTAGTGAAAGTTTAAAGAGATATAAAAGTGAGAGAGAAAAAGTAATTTCCTTTTAATCATCCTAGCTATTTGAGATAGTCAGTGGTGCTTTCACCATTGGGGAGGGGGGGGGACACTCTTTTTCTGAGACAATATGGTAATGTGAAGTAAGTAACTTGTCAACAGTTGCTACATGTCAGGTAACCTTATAAGTTTTCTCTTCTAGGAGGAAAGACACCATCACCAAACACGTTCTTACAATCAAGATGATGATCATTCAAAAGGTAAAAGCAAATTAATTGTTGCGGTGAACAACTTCTGGGAACTCCACAGAAGGTTTATGAGTAATTTTATATACTTGTCTAATATAAATCCATAAGTCAACAGTATTTATAAACGTACAGAGCTGTCATTAAGGGGCAGGGGCCGGGGATTTCCCCCCTCTACCATGAACGTGGTCCCCGGCTACTTTCATAGGATAATAGAAGAAAAAATAGAACCAAAAGAAATCCTTAGCTGTTTTATTCCGCGCCTACTTGTTGTATTTACCTGGCAACTTGAAATCTTTAAGACAGCCCTGGACATGCTTAAAAGAGTGTCTAATATTGTTGACCTATGGGTCATAAAATTTGTCTCATTAAACATTTTCTTTCATGTTATTGTCAAGTCCTATGAGTCATAAATGTGATGGACAAAATCATTGTTTCATTGTTGAGTTGGTAAACAGAGTGTTAAGAGATAACAAGTTGTTAAGTCACATGAGTATTGTCTAAATTAATCACCAATGTTACATGCAAATTTTCCTGAATCTAAAACAAAAGTTTTGATATTGAAAATATCCATGCATTTGACTTTGTACATGGTTAATTTTATCCAGAGATGATGTCAATGGTTATGTCACAGAATATGCAGCTTCAGCAGATGATGTTACAACAGATGATCTCATCGTCAGCTACAAACAGATCACATGCCGCAGAGAACAGAATTGATCACCACAGGTAGTTTTGCTGACTTGTAGCTTATATGATTTTCCTTTCGTCTTCTTTGTGCTCATGATAACCAATACATTGTACAGATAAACCCATCAATAAAGCTGTTCATCCATGTGCGTAGAATAAAGGATTGGTAATCTAATGGTTATTTATTTATTCCTTTGTTGCAATTTCTTCCAGTTTGCCCACAACCAGACAAGTTGAGATTGAGCAAATTGGTCATCGAGAAATGACGCCATTTTCTAACCTTCAAAGAGATACTAAAAGAGGTACCAGCGATGTTATTTTCTTCATTTGGTATCTTATGTTTGGTATGTTAGTTCCCAATCTTCCATGGTCAAAATATCCAAAAATTTACTTTTTATTGGTTTTATCAGAGCCTGCTCCCCCATCACCTGCAGTGAAGCAGTCAGTGGCTGTTCAAAGAAAACCATCACCCAAACCATTGGTAAAATAATATTGCTCCAAATCTTGTGTGTGACTGTTGTACAGTGACTAGAAACTAGCAGCAGTAAGTAATGGTGACCACTTTAACTCAACATGGCACAACATTATATAATCCTTAGAGCATATATTCCTTCCCCCCACCCTCTGTGTCCTAGAGAATTTAAAGAAGAAGAACCCTTGCCACAAGTTGAGGCTTTCAGCACAAAATTGTACACTTGTATCTCCCAAGTTTAAACACATAGTAGGCCGAGTTCAAGAGACCACACATAAAACCAGATGCAAACCAGGCAGAAAGCCTCCAGCCAGCATATTCTTTTTGTTCACAAAATAATTTTTCTAAATTAGTACTAGAACGAGAGTGTACTGCATTAAAAGGTAGAGGCAGTATAGAGGCATTTTAAAAGTCTGCTAACCAGCTATTTTCCTGTAGGTCCCTAGAGGTACTGCTTCTCCTGTGCGACCAACAGAGAGATTGTCTGAACCACAGAAAAGGTCTCATACTTCTGTAAAGCCTCAGGGATTTATTGGTCAAGTTGCCAGGGGCAATCCTGATCATCCCTACCCTTTTCCTGGGAGCAGAAGAGTCAGAAAGCTGCGGCACTTTGGTTACGTAGCCTGGGCCTGCTTCATACTTCTATCACTGCTAAAAAAAGTAGAGCAAAGAAGACTTGATGCTATGGACCATCTGAATTCTCTTATTAATGATGCCATTGATAAGCTCCACAGAAAACACTATCTTGATCTTGATAACCCTATTTATGCCACAATTCAAGATGCGGTTAAGGAAGATTCTTTAGATTTGAAAGTTAAAAATCCTGGAGTCTTTCAGAGGCTGTCAAGAGATGCTCAAGCTGCTTTGAGTGAACTTTCTTCAATGATTGAGACAATTGTTTATAATGTGACACAAATCAAACCAGCAACTGGACTGCTTAGTGCAACAAGGGAGGGTGTCCTGTGGGAACTGACACAAGTGGGTGTCCTGTTACCACAAGACTACTTGTGGCAAGTAGAAAAGGTTCGAAGTGAATTGATGTGATATGTACCATTCTAGAATTTTCTCAGACAATGAACTTTCTCTTTTTCAAGGAAAGGTCCTAACACTCTACCTCTTGGAAGGGAATTTATTAAAGATATGTCTAGTTCTGTGTTGCCCCTAAAGGCTGGTTTTCACTAGCGATGGAGTCAGAGTCGTAAGGGGAGTCGTAAGAGCGCTTATGACCTAGTGAAAATAAACAATGAGAGTCGTAAGCGGAATCATAAGCGCGACAGAATCGGAGTCAGAAGAATCAGAATGTTTCCATTTCTTCCGACTCCGCTTACGTCTCTGTCACTTGCATCTAGTGATCTAGTGAAAACCAGACTGTTGGAGTCAGAAGCAGAAGTGGAAGGATTAACCAATCACAATGCACATTCCCACTTTTTGTGATTGGTTTGGTTCTTCTGCTTCTGCTTCCGATTCCAACACTCTGGTTTTCACTAGATCATAAGCAGAATGTAAACAATGGAATCGTTAGCAAAATTCCAATGCTGTTTTCACTAGATCATAAGCTCTATGTTTCTGATTATGATTCGGATTCTTACTCTGTCACTAGTGAAAACCAGCCGCAAAGGTTCTGCTTATACTCTGGGTAGTGTTGTACATATATACTAAGAGATGAGACCATGGGTCAATGGTTGCTTACAAGAGGTTAAAAACAGAGGAAAATTAGTAAAACTGACACCCGAAAAGGTGGTCATTGTCACTTACGAGAGGTGGCGTTTACAAGATGTTCCAACTACAGGGCTTTGACTGAAAAATTTTGGTATTATGGGTGGATGGTTGCTTATAGGGGGGTGGTAACTTACTAGAGTTGCTCAGATATGGTGGTACTTAGCCTGTGAAGAGGGGCCTGGATAGCTTACTCATAATCTAGGAGGTGTTATACAGTTACTATATCTCAGCCATGTGTCTTATCAGTTACAAAAGTTGCTTGTATTTTGCTTTAGTAAAATCTGTTTTAAAATTGCAGAGTTATTAAAAATTGCACATGAAAAAAGAAATCACTTCTGAAAGACAAAATATAAAACATATGTCCTTTGTTCACAGGATAACATGACCTTCTTTGACCGAGGAGAACTGGTCCAAGTAACCAATCAAGTTAGCACTATTCTCCTGCTCGGGTTGTTCATCTCGAGAAGTCTGGTATCCACACTGTTGTTGAAGCCTACTGAGTGTGGCCTGATAGACAGTGAACCCAGCGATCTGGCTGCTTCTAACCTCAAGGTCAGCTGTCATAAATTTTGAAAACAATATTATTATCCTGAAGTCAGCACCCCATTGAATCCTTTAGGGGACTTAATAACTTTCTTTTGTCCCACACTAGTGACTTGACATCTTTTTCATCTTTATTTGCGTATAATAAATTAATTTAACATGTTTCAAAGAATTGCGACTTCTTTGAGGTTTTTTGGTCTACGGTAGACTCTCTCTTAACGGCCACCCTTATAAGGCGGGCACCTCTTTAAGATGGACACCTCTGTAAGACGGACACCAAGTGTTGGTCCCTGCAGCAGTTCTTTACTTCCTTATATTTGACTCTCTATAAGATGAACCTCTCTAAGACAGACACGTGATGCCGGTCCATAAGGTGTCCATTAACTGTAGTCCATAGTTCACTTTGTTTCCTCATTGTTTCCCAACCATCCCTGTGACGACCTGTTACAGGTGCAGGGCATATCGGACATACAGTAAATCCTCTATTAAGCCCCCCGAAGGGCTCATTTATTTCAAACACATTTGAGAGGGGGGGGGGCTTAATAGAGAGCGGGGGGGCGGGTATTTGAAAGGGGGGAGCGTATTTAATTTAGCAAAGACAATGGTATCAGTTCTCCACAAAGAACTAGAATACAAAGTGGAAAAGTTCAAGTACAAGAAGTTAGAGGTCATGCAGCTGGGGATCAAAGACAAATCCAAACTTCCAGTGGGAGAATAAACCATCCTGGATCAGTCCAAATGAAGTTTTACGGTCATGATTGATTAATACAGTCTTATCATTTATTAGTGAAAAATAATTAGGGGAGGGGAGGGGGCTTAAAAGAGAGGGGGTCATTAACTTTCTTTCCCTAAAAGGGGCGGGGGCTTATTAGAGAGAGGGGGCTTTTTTGAGAGGAGAGCCTAATAGAGGATTTACGGTAATTCTAGTGTAATGGTCCATTAGGAGTGTGAATTCTTAGATTCAAAATCCGTTTTTTAGATTCACGAATCGGGATTTCAATTTTACAAAGATATCTGCTAGCAGATAACTGACTAATATGCAGGTTGCGCACTCAATGCATGATTTCCAGCTACAGAGCAAGTGTGTTCCGTTCGATGGTGCGTTTGTCGTTCGTCAAAACAATGTCAAATAAAACAAATATTAGATTCGGTATTTGTGATTTCCCGAATAATCAAGGTCTCGGTAAGTGTTATCAGCCTGGGCTTTCGGCTCGGCTGATAACACATACCTCGACCCAGATTAGAGCGGTTTTCATTTGAGTGTCGAAAAGTAATTGGTTTTGCACTTTCTACACGATGCGATTGGCTTAAAAGATTCGCGCCACCTTTTCATCCAATCAGAAGTAAAACCAAAGCCAATTGTGACGCAGCGCTTTGCGTCAGCCACATGTAATTACTTCGAGTTTTCATTGGTTCAATGTATTGTCTGTGTCCTATGTGATTGGCCAGAGTAATTACTTTGGTTTTGGTTTTACGACACTCAAACGAAAACCACTCTATTCCGGATGTCACAAAACTGAGAACCGAATCCAAAAAAAATTATTGATGGTATTTTTTCCTTGAATGTTAGGTTTTAGCCTCTGTTCTTATGAGAATTGTACGTGACGTTTCGTTATGGCAAAAGAAAAAGACGATGGTAAGGCTTTACATCCGACATCTTGAGTTCTCCTTTTCCCGTAGGTATAGCCTGCGTGGCAAACGTTTGCGATCAAGTTAACGCTCGAAAGTTGGAGCGAGAGCGCTCTTGTTCTAACTTTCTTGGCGAACTCGCGCGGAATGGCTTGTTGCGCAGACTACCGTAGATCATTCATGATAGAACGTGAAAATCACAACATGGACGGGAGAACCTAATTTTCACTGGTCGTAGTCGTTGGTAAATTGCCGTCAGAGTGTAGACTACGAGCAGTCTCTCTTTTTTCTTAGTCTAGCGAGCGAAACGCGCGAGACACGAAAATGACTACTTGTATTGCGGCTTCGCGGTTCCACGCTCGCACTTCCCTCACTAAATACAAAGAAAAAGAGAGACTGCTCACAGTCCTACCGTCAGTGAGCTAAAATGTCTCGGGAAGAGTAAAATATCATCATTCGAGGGTCTGGGTCGCGGAGCACTAGAATTCGCTCTGCTTCTGCTGCATAAGTCACAGGAGGAAGGGAAGGGAATCGCAAATAAAACTGCGAGCTTAAGCTGATTTCAGTGTCCCCTAGAACTAAAAAAATCCCCAAATCATCCGTTTCACTTTGAATGTTCTTCCCTCTTTTGTCCTCGGCTCCCATCTCAGTCTTTCTACTGATAAATACAACAAAGGTACCATTTTTGTCATACTAAAAGTCACTGTCTCTTGGAATGTTGTTTAAATACTCACGCCTCATTCTTGATTTCTCTCTTCTTGGCATTTTGCAGCCTTTAGCGTCGGAAGTAAGCCAAGAACTGTTTAGTGATGAGGATATGAAATATATCTACAAGAAACTAGATGATACATTGATTTGGAGTAGGGTCTGTATATTCATTTGTCCTTTCTAAATATTCTTAAGTTGAGTTTCATCATTGGACACCATACCCCAGTGAGACAACTCAAACGTTCAAAATGTTTTTTCTGATATGAGATGTTTTCATTTTTCTTGACAGGCAAACCTGAGAAGATGGGCTGAAGCTTATATAAACTCTCTCAGTAGAAGTTAATACTCTGTAAAAAAAAATGATACCCGTGAATTACGTTATGGTGGCTAACTTTCTCGACTCGCGAAAAAAGTTCTGGTGAGCGTTAAAGGGCGTGACCCTAGAGATGCAAGATTATGCAATTAAAATTGCAAAGCCGTGTTTACTTGTCATGACACACTATTCTGCCAACCTTTGTAGTATATGAGTGTATTTTGTCGCAAAATTAGGACTAAAGCTACAGTTAAACTTTTATTCTGTTTTAAAATATTTGTAAAAGATAATGTATCGGTCAAATCGAAGCTTCAACATGCCCCCCCCCCCCCCCCGGGCAGCCCTCCGGGCATTTGACTTTTTTGAAAATTATTGTTCAAATTCCCCCCTACCCGGGCCAAAATGCCGTTCAAATGCCCCACACTAGGGTCCATTCAGGTGATCAAATGCCCCCACCCCGGGTACATTTCACAGGCACAAAAATGACAGAAGGATGGCGGAAACACCTTCAGTTGTCGAACAAAATATTTATAAATATAACAAAAACTGAGAAACACTGTTAGCGTATTTACTACGAACAAAAGTCTTGTGCAAAGCGGCGGAAATCGCTGCTACAAGGTCGCTGAATGCTCAGCTTTTCTTCGTCATGCAACATACAAAGCGTTCTATAAAAAAGATCCCACCTATTGAGATTATTACATCATGACCATTTCACTGACATGCATCATCGTTCACCTTATTAAAAGCTGCACATCTGAGTTAAGAGCTAAGGTTATGTTTTGCGAAGATTATCACGGAATTTGATTCTTTTGAACTCGTTTTTTCTGCTAAATGGATAAGTTCAAGACCTGTTCCAGGAGTTGAGGTAGGTAGAGAAAAGTGACCAGGAAAAATAAGCTAAGGGGTGAGGGGGGGGGGCTCTTTTTTTATATCCATACGTTCTCCATTATCTGAACGCCTGGACAGATTACGAAATTTGAGGCCACATCCACACGACGAACCCGGACATTTTTTAACCGCATTTTTTACCCGGGTTCGTGTAGACACGGTCTTAAACCACTCTGGAAAGCGGTTTCAAAAAGATGCGTTTTCGGTGGGCCGATTCATTGGTTTCTCCTTCCTTTTCCCGCCCCGCCGCCAGAGCGCCTCGGAGAGCTTGCTTGCAGGCTACGACAGGTCCGGTGAATTCATGTGGACGAATGAAACCGGATATTAACTACGTCATAAACTCAAAATGGCGGACAACAATGTTCTGTTTGCAAGTTTGCTGGCTCCTATTGCATTCGTTTAAATCAATGACAAAAACTAGCCATTTCAAAAGAAGACTTAATCTCACCCAGATTGTGCAATCTTTAAGTTCGAGACGAGGGCTTGTTAGACCTCTTCGTTTTTAAACCTCGTCAAAGATGATTTTGGGGTCGTCCAGCGCGAGCAAGTGCCTGGTGGGACAACGTACTAGCAGACATGGCCATTATGCTCGATATTCGCCATTTGCAGATCTCCTAAAATTCACCTTGTTTGCCCCCCAAAATTTTGCATAACCTTTGTTTTTCATTTCTCCTGGGTATTACAACCGTCCCAAGAGAAATTAAAAACACATTGCTAATGCAAAGGGTTTTTTTTGTGGGGGGGGGTGGGGGGGGGGCAAGCAAGGTGCATTGTGGGAGATTTGCAAGTGTCGAATGGTAACCTGGTAACCTGGTAACCTGAGATCAGGCCCAATAGGACATTTGCACGATGGCGTCATTTTACTACTACTACCTAAACTCGTACCCAGATCTCCCACGGCCAAGGGTAAAACAGAGTGAGATCTGGGTACGAGATTAACTACTACCAGAATCCTTCAGGGTATTGCTTTCTTGTGCAAATTAAGACTTTTGTTAATTAATCCTCACTGGGATTACCAAATTTAAATATGAAAGGAAAAACGAAATGAATTCTGGTCTTAGTAGTAAAAAGACGTCATCGTGCAAATGGCCCATTTTAGCAGCTCTCATACATTCTCTCTTACGTGCTCCCGCCCTCTTTTCGTTTCGCCTTGCCCGCCGGAGTGTTATTTTCAAAGCGAAACGAAAATAGAGCCTGATCTCGTGTTAGGTGAATGGCTAGAACATTCAAAAATGCCGCCAAATCATTTTGCGGGTTTGGTTTGCGCATGCCTACTAGCAAATGTAAATTACAGTAGCGTATTCATGCAGACGGGTTAATCCAAACCGGACACACCGCCACACCGAACTCGTGTTGACACAAATACAAGAATGCTGTTTTAGTGTATCCGGATTCGTGAGGACGTGGCCTAATATAAGCCTCGCGAAATTTGTTTATTCTATTTCGTGAAAAAAATTGCCCACGAGGGTATATGATAATGAGTTAGGGCCGGTTCAGACGCCGAACTTTTCGTGAGCCGAAACCTAATTCGAATTAAGGCCGACCCAAATTATTAAGACCAGCTGAATTGATTCAGACGCCGATCTTAATTGCAGCTGAACTAAGTTCAAAAAGCGGAAAATGCTCATTTCGGTCAAACTGCTTACAAATTACGTTATAATAATTTATACATTAGGTTCGGTACATGAAAAGTTCGGCGTCTGAATCAAAGCCGTTCCAAAGTCGCTCCAAATTAAAGGCGAAATTCCCGGCCGGGCTAGGCGAAAAGAACGGCTCAGCCGTTCCAAATTGAAACAGGCGTTCCTAATTGATTCAGACGACGAACTTTTCATGTACTTAATTCAATGTAATAGGTTTGGCTCATGAAAAGTTCGGCGTCTGAACCGGGCCTTAGATGAAAGCCTAAGGGCATGGAAATAGTCAGCCCACGTAGCAAGGAAGTTGGGGGGAAGAACTCTTTCAAGTTCCGTTTTCGTATTTTCAATATAGGGAATGTTTAAAATGTTTAGGATACTGAGTGTGAAGAAAGCATAACCGCATGGATAAGTATCACCAGTTCTTATTATTTATTCGATCAACTTTTCTCTACCATGGCCGTCCCGAATCATGTTTTCAATCTTTGCTCGTACCCCTCATGAATACTCGAAAAGTAACTGAAAACGAAATTTTTATCGTTAAACTATTGTAAATTAAGTATTTACATTGTAACAGAAGCCGAGTATTAAGTGTTTCTTGATGACGGTGTCCTTGATTCTTGTACCTAAAAGTTCGTTTGGAAAAACAAGCGAGGCGTAGAAGTGTTTTCAATTGTGACAAGTGGTTCTCCAGTTAAAGCACTCTTTAATTATCAAATGATGGTCAGATTTAACGCAAATATCCTTAAACTGTTACGGTGAAATATCTCATTCTTCGTCAAGAAAGTGAATTCCCTTTGTTTTCTTTTCATAAAGTATTGCTGAATTTGCGAAAGAGCAAACCACAAAAATCCTCTTACGTATACTGTGGCTAATTTTCTCACTTTAAAACCAAATTTTTGTCAAGCATGCATGAAGCGTGTCAACCATCATGGCATCGGTGTTTCAAAGTTCCTGTCGAATGACTTTCCATAGTAATACTAAGGCTACTCAGCGTTCAAATGAAATGAAGCCTGGGATTGCTGAAAAACTGTTCAGTGACCCCAGCCATTAAATGGAAACAACTCTTTCGCAATAGTGACTATCGTTGTCGAGACAAAGTTAAGTTCCTTCCCAAGGTTGGCTCCGGTTGTTCACACAGGTTAGCTTTTTTGAAAAACGTGCAAACCAGGCTTAAGTGTCAATATAAGGGAGATGTGTTTTTCCTTGTTCGTCCTGTACGTGAGGAAATTTATTTCCTGTGTAACATGCATCACATTAATGTAAGGTATTTTTACAAATAGTGTTGTTTAGTTCCTTTCAAATAGAGATAATGGTATATTTTGTTGTATATAGGCTCAGTTCTTAATGTTTACGTAAGTTAACAACATTTTGGAAATGTTTCGTTACAAATTTCCCATTTGTCGCTGCGGTTTTCTTGAGGGAAACAACAGATCGATGGACTGTTACGTAAAAATGCCGTATAAACAGAGATTCTTAAGATAATTTTTTGTCCAGACACCTTTTTCTGTTTCATAGAGCTTATTTAACAAAGTTTTCTCTAACGAAGCTTTTTTATCATCTCTTCAAAGTGGCTACTTGACCCGACTTTGTAATCGTTTCCTTTAAAATAAAGGAATTCAGTAGATTCCTGCCAACACAAAGCCGAAGTTTCATTATAGGTAATACTGCGTCATGCTGTCTGTTCCTGCGTTACGTAAAAGAAAATTCAAATAAAGAAAATTTAGAGTCACTTACAGCAAACGGCAAACAACAGATTCAAGTTGAGAATTCCCAAAATTGGAAAATGAGGAGATACAAACTGTGTAAACTAATTCTTATTGATAAAACTGGCGTGAATCTAACCATTTCCAGGCGTTGAGATAAGAGGGGAGTGGCTGAAAAAAAGAGGAAGAAAGGAAGAGGAGGAAACCAATCCCTACCCTGTTGTTGGTTTTTTTTTTCCTGCTCACTTTTCTTTGTGTCACCTCCTATCAATTTAGGTTCCCGGGGAAACTGCCCACCTACCCCTCCCCTAAGCCAACATTTTGCCCAACGTAAGAAGTAAGTATTAATGTTAACTTAGGGGAGGGGTAGGTGAGCAGTTTCCCAGAATCTTAAATTGATCACACGAAACTACTATTTTTTGCAGAAGTAATTCAAAGTAAAAGACAAGTAGGGGAAAACTTGGTCACGTGGTACAAATTCACGTTTGCCGTAAACCTGATTCTTAATCCCTCTGATGTTTCAGACAAGTCCACAGAGTACTTCGTCATGAATTTCAGTTCGAGCCGGTCCTCTTCAGCTTTCAACTACAGTTGAACCTCTCCACAACGGCCACATTGGGGACAGAAGAAAGTTGCCGTTGTAGAGAGGCGTCCATGAAAAACATGATGATGAAGATGGGGGGAAGGAATCTTGGAACGACATTAACACCGATGATTGGCTTAACATTTGCGTTATTTCTTCTCAAACAATCAAAAGCAAGCGTTTTTTCGCGTTGGGCCTTTTGAACTTCCTTCTTTGTTCTGATTGCTTCGTTGTATTGATTGCCGTGTCCTGTGATTAGAGGAATTCGAAGGAGTAATGTTTTAGTCTTTGGTTAACGACCAAAGGGACGATCTTGACTAGCTTCTGTAGGCTTTTGGCGTTATTATTAAAGAGTCTGCATCTGAAAAACAGAATAGTTAACGATCAGTAAATCTAGTAGTGACCAACTGAAAACTGGAACACTACCCATGTGAGCAAAAGTCAGCCAATGACAGCCAAAGTAATTTATAGGGATTCTACAACATTCTATATCAACTGATTTACGCGCCACTTCGAATAATGCCATACCATTCGCATCTACAGGTCAACCTTTCATTACTATTCCAGTTTTCTCCAGGTTAGAATAGCACAATGGAATTGCGAGGTTTCCTTTAGCCTGTATAACAGGCGCTTTATGAGTCAAGCGACGCGAACACGGCATTTTGCGCAAAGCGCGAGACGAGGAGATGAGGAACAAAAGCGCCTGTGACAATTTTCTAGTAATGGAACTCGTCTTCATTGGTCCTTTTGACATCAGCGCCGTCAGTCAATACTTGTGAGCGTAGGTGGGCGGAAGAGCCAGAATGGACTGGTTACAGGCGCTTTATTTTTTCTTCTCCCCTCGTCTCACACTTGGCGCTTCGCGCAAAATGCCGCGTTTGCCTTGCTTGGCTCATAAAGCGCCTGTTATGCCGGCTAGGTTTGCTATGAACTTGAACTGAATCCTTAAAGCTTAGTTCAAAAACGAATAGAAAGTACGGCTTCTAAACCTGTTGAGTACACAAATTGTAGAGAAGCTAATGCGTAGCACTTGTAGTTCTTGACAGCAACGCACACTGGGACAGTCAGCCTTACTTAGTGCTCTGTAGATGACGGTATTGAAAGAATGGAAATTTTAAAAGCAGCCTATTTTAGAAGAAATGTGAAAGGTAATGTTTTCTTTAAAAACTCAAACTTCTACTCACAGTACTCTTGTATAAGGTTTGGGTAGATAAGTCCAACAAAAGAATAAGGTTTCTTCGAATAAGTGTCATCTACAGTGTCATGTGTGTGACTATCTTCATTCCCATGCTGGTCACTTTGATAAGGATCTTCAAAAGACCTAAACATAAAAGGCAACAGCCATTAACAGCTGTAACAAAAATAAATCTTTCTGTTAAAAAACATGAATCATACAGTTTTGAAAGTAGGGGTAGCTTTAAATCTAGACTTTCCATTTTCCAGTCTATCCTTCTATAATACAAAACGTGCCCTATTTATTTTCATTTTTCTTTTTCCACAATGAACACCAATTTAGCATCTAAGATCAAATTTCTAGGTGACATTAAACTTTGTCACTTTAAAGGGCTTCTGTGGCAGCACTTCTGTTTTGTACTTCCCCATCCCTACCACTGCTCGCTGTTCTGCGACATTTCCTTACATTCAATGTGTTTTGTTAGCCTACAGTAGCACAGAATAGTTGCTTTAGATGGGAGAGTTACTTTGCTGAATAGCCAAACGAAACAGTACCCTTTATTAAATTACTTTATAAAAACCTTTGAGCTCATGCCTCCAAGCTCAAATAATTCAAAAGACTTAATTTTAATTCTACTCAAGTGTTTATTTTGTTAGATGGAAATTTTAATTTCATACTGTATAATCAGGCTGTATAAGTAATGGTAACAGGAATGAGTGGAGTCCAATTCGGTCTGTAATCATACGAGTGATTAACAAAATCGGACGACCGCGTAGCGGGAGTCCGATTTGTTTAATCACGAGTATGATTACAGACCGAATTGGACGACACGAAGTTCTGTTACCAATTAATCATAACTTTAACTAAATTCGTGATATATTAGGCTCTTTTTTTAAATCAAAACACAAGAAATTCCGAGATTTTTTTGATACCAGTGGAAAAAAAGCCATTTAAGCGCGCGCGTGATGGCACGTACTGTCCAATTACTTAGGCATGACGCGTACTGTCCTATTAAGGCTGAAATCAGGGCAGTTGATAACCAATCAGATTTAAGAATTTTGTTATAGTTATGATTATATATGTTATTTAGAGAATTTATCACAATGTTATTTTTAAATGAAACAGATGTGATGCAGTGATTCTGCTTAAAGTAGATGTAGATGTGAACAATTATTGTGTGGTTCCAGAAAATATCCATACCCCCACCACGGAAGACACTTTGATTTGCACCCCCCCACCCCCCAGGATTTTCCGTTCCAGGGGGTCTTTGATGACCCCCCCTCCCCCCAGGAATTTCCAGAATTTTAAAATGGGGACTTCGCTTACCACACTTTAGAAATTCAAAGTAGTTTGGGCACTTAAAAACAAAGAAAGTTAATACTAACTCAGTTATGAAAATACGGAAGAATTTTATTACAACAGTGCAGCGTAAACGTTTGTTAAGTTTATTATTCAGCCAAACTTTTAGCTTTTTCGCCATCACGTTTGCAAATTATGTCTGTGTTGTTTTTTTGTAAGCTTATAAATTAAGCTTAAACATTTGGTTTGCAAAGTTTAAACGTCGATTGTTCTACGTTTTTGTGTTTACTGCGACACGAACGTTATGAAGAAAATGTAAGTTTCACCCGCTTAAACAACTTTGCAAACGGTAGCAAGAAAAACCCAGAAACTTACAAGGTTCCTGTCTGGCTGTTTTTATTTCTACAGATTTTGTCAGTTTCTTCAGGTTGACTATTATTTAAGGGCCGAAAACTTCACCAACACGTACATGCCAATGCGCTAGATTTCGTGAACGTCGTCACGATTGCAGAATTTACTAGCCAGGTAGCCGGGCCTTGTGAAGGTCGAGCAAGAAATGGGAACGAAAGTATTCTCGTCTCATCGCATTTTTCATGAGTTTCCACGCACAGTAAACGCTGATAAAACATGAAACCTATCAAAAATGTGTGTCATGCATGTCAAGGAAGCGAAAAGGGATACTCAGTGAACAGAAGTGAAAGCACTTTAATGTCGGTCGGACGAAGACGAGACGAAGACAAGACTCCAGTTATGTCCGCCATTTTCAATCGTTTTCGACTTCGTTCCAAAGACACATCGTTCTTCTGGAGATTGTAGCGCTAGCGAACTCAAAGAAAAACAGAAACATTAAAGCTAATGATGTTAACCTCATGTCAATGGCCAGGAGTACCGACTTTTTTTTCAAAACAACGTACGTAGGTATGTTTTTGTGCTTGAGATCGATCGTACGTTGCTTTCAATGTTTTGTACATGGTCTGTCACCCCTTGGAAAATAGTTTCCCATGAACCCCCCATACCCCTCGGAAATTACTGCCTTTGAACCCCCCCCTCCCCCTCGGAATTTCCAATGGTCTTCCGTGGGGGGGGTATGGATATTTTCTGGAACCACACATTGGAAATTTCAGTTCCAAGCAAACAGCTAATAATAGAAGCCACTGATTGTAAGGAAAAAGAAAATAGGCAAGGTGTGCCCAAATGTTCACAGTATTAAATTCTGAGATTTTTTCTGCTGAGAGAAGACTTTGTAAAGGTCGCAGGAGGGGCAACTCGAAACAATAGGATTGAACAAACTGTAAGGCATACAAATTTTTGGCACAGAATGGTGATGCCTCTTTCTAGTTTGAGAGCAATGATTTCACAAGCAAAAGGGACACAGAGTGAGACAGCTTACCATCCCATATGGGAACCACACCGAGGACATACCGCTATGCGCCAAGCATATCCAGGAAACCATGAATGCTCTTCAAATGCCTATAACCAAACCACAATAACAAAGCCTATTTAACAACTGCAGATGTTTTAAAAAAGTATACTGTGTACAGGTAACTTTAAAAGTCAGAAGAGGTTAAACGAAGGCCTTCCACTGCTTATGGCCTACCTCACCATGGCTTTTGATATTTGCAGTGGTGGCTGTTATCAGCTCAAAATGTTGACCTGTTGAAAAGATTGATGCAAGCAAAATATCAGTGATGAATCATTCTTTGCAGATTTACTTCATCCTCAGTGACCCAGCCCAGCAGCAAAAGTGTGGCTCTCCCAACCTTTAAAGAACTTGCTTTCACTAATGAGAAATAAAGTTTGAGCAATGAGCACAGAAATTCCATACTGATGATGTATCACTACCCAAATCTGGGCAGAGCTTCTGTTTGGTCATGCTGCATGGGAAATTTGCTTTCATCAATCGAAGGTACTAACTCAGTCTATCTGGGTAGTGACAAATCAACAGTTCGGAATTTCTTTGCTTGTTCCTTATTAGATGTCATTCTACAGGAAACCATGCTGGCTAGCAGAATGCTGGCTGTGTTCTCCTGCCTTAGAGTCTCCAGGTCAATGTAGGGGGCTATCAAATAATGCAAAACAGTGCTTTATGACCACTTTCTGTTCTAAGTTAGACATTATTATTGATAGTAGTGAAAGGATAAGAGGCATTTGGAACAAGAAGGATCATCAGAAAAAATTGAAATTTACACAACATTTTTACTTCATGAGAGACAAATAAAAAAACTCACAATACAAAAATAACATCCATGAAATAAACCACATCCAAACTCATCAAGAAAAAAATTTTTTGGGAGACCAACCCCCCCCCCCCCCCCCCCCCCCCTCCACCATTACACACGAGTCCGCCTATACTTTTTTGTTGGAGGAGGAAAAAAAAGGGGGAGAAGAGGAGGAGAAGGGGGGGGATGTGTGTAGAGTAATAAATAGAGACGGCGCCACGTGCTAGTTTTGCGTTTTATGTAAAAAAAAAGAGTAAGCATACTAGATGAATACGCCTAATTACGCCACCGTCGACATAAGTATGGTTTAAAATTGTTATGGAGCTCAACCCCCCCCCCCCCCCCATTATCTCAAGGTGTGCATCTGGTACTGCTTATAGTTTGACGGTGGTAAAGGAAAACGATGGTGTAAATGAGAGTACCGTGGGGGTTCTTGAATAGCTGAATAAGACGCTGCTGCACTCCAAGTATTGTGTCATTTCTCTGTCTCAAAGCAAGTTTACTAGCTTTGTTATAAAGATGGACAGCAGTGGTGATGTCATGACCACATTTTCTGCAAAGCAGTGAACCTAAAAAAGAGGACAAAAAATATGAATATTCTAGTACTGCTACACTCTCTTCAGACAACTTTCTCCCTTGAAACTGCTGACAGGCTTCAAAGTTTTGCGTCAATGATCTGGCCTGCATTTCACTTTTATTCATTAGAATAAAATAGAAAACTTTATAAATGTGTCGGAGCCGTATAGCTTGGGAACAACCCCATACTAATTTGGGGACAGAATTTATAATTAAATAATTGGAATTACCTATAAAATATAAAAGTAAAAAATATATATTTAAACTAAGCATAATATATTATACTCTAATAATAATCTAAAATAACTGAGAGAGAATTGTACAATTAAATGGTTATGATTTGCAGAGAGAACGGCTCTTACATCCATCATCTATCATTGAGCTTATAGATGTAAGAGCTTATCTCTCTGCATTTATCGCATTTAAATTTGCAGATAAATATTTGAAAGGAGAATTTACCACTACATGGAAGACACAGAGCAGCAAATTGCAGTTTCAGGGAAAGACAAAATATCATTGGAAGAATCTGTCCATGGCTCATGTTTTCACAATGAAGACAATATGACATCTTTTTGTCCCCAGTTCTTACAATAAATATTAATATATACCACACAAGTGAAAAGTGCAATTAGTGCACACTGATTAACTAGTTCATAGTAGCCATATAGTACTAGCCACCTCCGAGAAGCCAAAGACAAACAAAAACATTTAAGACTTGAACTGCACTTCGCTCATTGTTTTCAGAATGTTGGATCCAAAAGTACTGGAATTTCATTACTCAAGATCATGAAATGTTTGAAGGCGTTTGTTTCGTTCATCTTTTCCCTTGATCACCATGTATCACCTGAGTTAGGTTTGACTTTATAAGCATTAATATGCATTAGCACATCTGACAGACTGAAATAAAGTAATGTTTGGTCTACCAGTTATTCAGCTGGTGTAGTACAGTGTAACTAAGCAAAAACAATATTATTCAATATGAGCCGTATATTCACCTCATTGTCAATAGACGTGGTGGATATTTACTTTGTAACTGCATGCCTCCGGATACTATCCACTACTATTTACCTCCACTTCAGTGAAAAATCCCTCATACACCACTTTGCTTTGAAATTAAAAGTTGTGAATGATAGTTCTTTTTTCAAAAATACAGCAGATCAAAATAATGTTGCAAAATTTAGCTGTTACAATTCCACAACAAAGCAAAGCAGCACAAATGATGGAGTTTGAAATGATCAAAGCCATGCACGTGATGTAATAGACGATAAGCAAAAACACAGTAAATCATATGAGATAATGAGTTTGAGATCAGTCTAACCTTAATGCTTCACATGGCTGGGCAGGCTTGACTTGTCATAATAAATATTTAAAATAACTCTTCAATTCCTCAATAAGAAACACTTTAAACAGCAGATTATACACATGAGGTAGCAGGAATTTAAATGAACATGTGAAACAAGTCTTCACATTTATTTTGTAGATTTTGCTATTCCTACAAAGCCTGATGCTTTTATGTACTTGATTTTTTATTTGTAACATGATGCTTATGACCTCCAAGCTTAAGCCTTAAAGTGATGTCACCCACTGTATGAAGCCATCCAAAATTTGATTCTGAAGAAGAAATCTTATTCAAGCATGACAATTTAGATGAAAACAACAGAAAGATACTTTCCAGTACCAATGCATGGTTTTAAATTATCTCCCATTAGGATTAATTAATTTTTCTTGCAAACTAATGACAAAGCTTTTAAAGCTCAAATAAAACACTTTGAAGTTATAAACACAACACTGGATTAAACTTCTGTGTTCACCAACAAGGCATAATCATCAGTGTAAAACTGAGACAAAAGTAACAGGTGGAAAGGATTTAAAATTATTGAACTGAAAACAAAATATAGCATGGGCCAATGATACATCATTAAAGGTGATTAAGTATTCAAACTGTTTACCTTCTCTAATTACTAATTAACTTAAGAAAACTTCAATTGACTGAAGTAAATATTTCAGTAAAAACTAACATCTTAACATTGCATCTATAAACTGGACCATGCAATCTTAGACTCATCCACATTCTTCTGGTTATCTCTTTTACAATGGATCTTGGATATGACTGACAGGAAGTTCTTGATGTCATTACAAGATGGTTTTTATCTCCCTTCCCACAGCCATCAGCAAGCCAAGATCGGATCAAAGAGTAAGTGCGCTCTAGATAACAAGAGTAGTCATAGGAACTATAAAGTGAGAGATATATATACAGTGATCTGTCGTACAGGTATGTTTCTATGAAAAAGTCAAGCCTGTTCTTCTCTCTTTTCCCTCTGATCAAAGAAATAAGGTGAAGTACTACAAGTGAAAATAAAATTTAGGATAATAAAAGACAAAAATTGGAGATGAAGAGTACCTCTCATCAGTTGTTCTCATCTGAACATTGACCAATTTCTAGTCGAAGAGAATCTTATTATGAGACATCAGAATAAAATTGCAAACTTGGAACTTTTACTGAGGTGAAAGTTACTATTTCACATCTACAGCTGTACTTTATGATGGATAGATGTCATTATCATTAATCTGTTGTTTTTATTTTCCTTTTCTTATTTTTTTTAATTGCATTAATCAATCTCCAATTTGAGATTAATGTTAAGACTAGTATAGTGTTAATTTGCTCATACCATATTATTAAAACAATGGGACCTAAAACCTATTAAATGCTGATAAAAATTTATGTGCTTTTCACTTAGTGAAACATAAACTCTTATGAACCTTAAATGTGAGATCATAGAAGACCAAACTAACCCCTTGTAATAGTATATATCTGCTATGTAGCTAGAACTAGCTTTGAAGGGAGAAGAATTTTAAAAGTTTCTCTGAAAAGCTTAAAACTTAGAGAAATGAGCTTAAACAATTTAAAAAGTGGGATTGGAAATTAAAATAAAAAAACAAGCTTAGTTAACAACAAGCGAAAGAAAATTCCTACAAAAGTAGGTCATTCGATTTTCACAGCTTGTTGATCTGTCTCCTACGAGTGAGTAAGCACAGGACAGTCTGTTCCGCGTCTGAATAAGTAAAGCATTGTTCCATAAACCAAAACAATATCCCACGATGAGATCACACCGACTTAAAAAAATAATATGGAAGCTGGAACTGCCCGCCATAACATGGAGCCCCGGTAAAACGTAAAATGCACTTTCAAACCTGAATCTTGTTCAACATCCACGCTTATAGCATATACTGAGCTAAATCTGTAAAATATCAAAAAACAGAGGACAAACAAGCCTTTGCAGCAAAGAAATTTCATTTCTTTCTCTGCGAAAGAACCTCTCGCCGTTATTAACAAAAAACGCAATGCATGCTGCTTGCCAGGCCACCAGACGATTTAGTTAACACGAACACGAGGCTAACGTGGTTCAACGTGAAAGCGAGGCACATCATTCACTTCGGTTGTCTTTTGCCGTCGAGAAGGGGCTAAGAAATCTGTGAGGAAAAAATCAAAAAATGAAATGGCAAGTAAACTTCAAAGAAAGCCTCCATTTCTACCCCAGTCCAGCAAATGGCCTTGGAAGACAAGATCATGTGGCTTAATCAAATTCGATCACGTAAGTCTGGGTTGGATCGATCTGGTGATTGTTTGAAAATCTTTAGTTAATCAGTATTTTGATACGGTGTGTTGGCATTGAGGGGGTGTTCATAAAAAGCCGATTCGAGCGTAACAAATTCACAGCCAAAATTCACGATGCATGTCACTGTCAGAGGATCAACTCAGAGAAGATAACCTTCAGTTTTTATTTTATTTTCTTTTTTAAAAAAGTCCCTTTCAATTAATTTTTTACTTTGCTTTGTGCGTACGATCTCTTGCAGTGTTCTGATAATTAGTGAAACACTTTTAACGAGCTACATTCCAAAGATTGTTTACTTCGATAACACTGACGCAATGAATTTTTTCTTTCTTCCGCGATGAAACCTCGGCTTGGTTGAAGGCCACAACAAAATGGAAAATATTTAACTAAAATACGCTAAGTTACCCTTTCCAAGATTTTACACATCCTTGATGAAAATTTAAAACCAAGAACACTGCATTTTAAATATTAATTTCACATGTTACCAGATGCGACAGGAAACTGACAAAAACTTTACTTGAAGATTAAGCTATTATCTAATTTCAGAACTATCAGTTCAGGATTAAAATGTGACTAGTAGAAAGTTCAAAGAATAATTATTCTTGCTGTGGCGTATTTTGACTTTTGCAAAAGTTTTAGATGTTTTATCGCACGTGTTGTCTTTGCATCAGAGGCAAACCACGTGTTTATACTTTATGCTCGTGAGGCCTCATGGGAATGGCCTTATCTGACAAGCCAGCGACGGCCATGCCAAGAATGGCCTTTCTTTTTTAGGCCTTTTGCATCCGGTTAGTTCAACTACCATCCTTTGTCCTAAATATGTTATTATGCAGTATTCGGGGCCGCAAATAATTGCTGTGCGTGTCTTTGGGATTATTTTCGCGGCTGGGTTGTCTACTTCAACACAGTTTTGCAAACGCAGCAAGTCACACCCCCGATTCGTCACACGCTTAGGATTACGCTGTACTCGTTGTTGACTGTGGGACGTTTTTCTTGTGTTTAGATCCGTCCAATGAGTTTTCCATGTGTTCTTGGTATGAACGAAGTTGGATGGGAAGATGGAGCGTACCACAGCAATGGTATGCCTCCAAAACTTGGCGGACGCACCAGTAATGGGGGATCGAAGACAAACAACCAGGGCTTCGAAATAGTAGGCACAAAGTCGAACGGGGAAGTCGCAAGTTATCTGTTCCAGCGCCAAGGCGTCGCTACAAGCTTTTCCAAAACAGTTGCAGAAAACGAAAAAGGGAATTTTTCGGGCCAAAGATGGTCTTCTGTAGGTGAAGGAATGTCGGAGCAAGTAAGTTTTAATTCTTAGAATCTTAGACTTGGGTTTGTCAACATTTGAGTAGTGACTTGCTTGCAAAGCTGGAATGAAAGTTCAGATAAAATCTAACTGAAGGCGTCCAGCTTTGCAACAGGAAACTGCATTTTTTTGTTAGTTATGATGAAGAAGATGGAAGCAAGCTATTGTGCCTAAAGTTCATTGAACGAAGATTTAGTGCGAATATATACATAAGAGTCGAATGGCTCTGTTGCAAATCACGAGGAGCATTGGAACATTTATTAGTCGGTTTATGAGCGTCGTTTTATTTACTCAAGCAGCGTCCTGTCGTATTTTCTTGTAGATCTCTGAAATTGTTCGTGTCACAATTTGATATTGCGGGACCAGAAATGTTTAAAAGCTGCTTGCAAATTGGATAATGAATGCACGAATTTTTTTGTTCAGCCGCCTAACCAGTAAAACGAAATGCTAGTAGAGAGTTCGAGATCGAATGCTGGTGTATTCACGCAGAGTAAATGTTTTCTTATTCATCTTGCTTTGTTGTCGTGCTGTTGTGCCGTGCAAAGGAAAAAGCTGATTTAATGAAAGCATTCCTTTGTTCCAGCTTTGAAAGTCATCTAGTCGTGTTTTGATACAAGGATAAATAAATTAATATGAATATCTTGGCTTTAATGAGTGCAATATTAGTAAGCTTGGCATTATAACTGAAAGTGAATGCTGGAAATACCCTTGGGAATTTTTTGTTTCTGTGGCCTGCATTTCTCATCCACTCTTCAGCAAGTGAGGCACATAATTAATATCTAGTTAAACTGAACTTAACCTTGTAGAATGGAAATGTCATTGTGAAAATTATGCCTTGAACTATGGAGATAGAAATTCATTTTAAAAGCTGCTAAGAATTCAAGTACTTGGCCTTTCAATAGCACATCATGTATACAGTGTGCAAGACCACATGTTTTAATGTTCCTACAGTGAGGGCTTGAATGATTTTTTTTTGTGTGTGTGTAGTAACTTCCTTAATGATTTCTGCTCACTAAGTTTGAAGCCATTTGTAAAGTATCTTTTTGAGCATATCCACCTCTGATCTCTTTACTTGGAGGCAATTATGGAAATATTAGGCTTAGCTCTAACCTTCTGAGTCTGTGACAAAAGCATTCCTAAACAACCTTTTCCATAAGGCTAACATTATGGTGTTACATGTTATTTTTGTTTCATCTCTTTGCTACATAAAATGTGCTATTTTTATTAAATTTTCATTAAGGGCCCACTAGGGAGCTTTCAGTTTTGTATTTGTAACTTTCAAGCACTCTTGTTGTAGGTAGTCTTATAAAGTTTGTCTCTGTCTACATGTGGGAAGTCTTCATGCTAAATGGTCCCCTAGTCATAAAGTCTGTTGCAGATCTCTTCGGTGATTTGGTTTTGTTTAGAATAAAAGACAGTGGAAACTCTCCTAACGGGCACTTTTGCAAGTGGACAGCCGTACATATGTCCACCTTCACAAATCCCCATTTTTCTCAACTCCCATAGAAACTCTGTATTTTTACATTTCTGTAAATGGCCAGCTTCAGTTACAGACACCTTTTCCGCATCCCAAGGGTGTCCACTCACGAGAGCTTCCACCTTACTCTACTACTCTGCATGAATAATAGTAATTCATAAGGTCACATGTTCAGCCTTCAGTAGCCAGGATGAATTTTAACTTGAACAAGCTGGCTCGGTTTTCAAACTTGAACTTCTGAGTTCTTGAAAAATTTCCCAAAAATTGAGATGTTGCTTAAAAACTTTCTTTTAAATTTCCTAGTAAGAGTGAATATCTTTTTTAATCATACATCTTGTATGTTGTGGTTCAGTGAGCTGGCTAGTTGTAGTTATTTTACTACTGTAACAGTAGTGTCATGTAAAAGCTAAAAGCAATCTAATCAAGAACATAGCTATCGCAAAGATAACATTACTGTCCAACGTGACACCCAGTGGGTTGGCCCTCACTGGCTCTGTCGTAGTGGCTGTAAGGAGCTGAGTGTCCTCAGAGACACATCACCCATGATGTCTGTTCCTTGCCATGTCGTTGGAGATCAAAACTGCCCCCAGTGTCTTACTTTGTGAGCACTGGTTTGGTGCGGTGCTTTGTATATTCCTTGTGCTTTCCAGAGTCACTATGTGACCATTACTGGGGAGATAAACCATACAGTTAACAATTTTATCTCGTATGTATGATAAATTTTACTTACCATACTAGAAAATCAATAGGGCTAGTACATGCTAGCTACAGCATGACTGACTTTCTTTGCACAGTGAATGTTTTTTCAATGTTGCTTGTGTCAAAAAAGTTCTGGTAACTGAAAACTTTGCATGCAGTGCATTATTTGAGTGTAATTGGTAAACCTTCAAGAATATTTCCATTATTTCATTCCATGGGATTGTGAAAAGCAAAAAATGCCAACAAACTAGAGTACTGCTCAAAAGGTTCTATTTGAGTGATTTTAAAGGTTTGAGCTACATGACTTATCATAATCAAGTCGAAATTATGAGTAAAAGGACAAACTCTGCAGATCAAAAAACTGTCTTGTAAAACATAATTTAAAAAGTTTGTTACTTTCAACTACTCCCGAGTAATCAAACATAATTTGACGAAGCTGAACATTTGTAATTTCATACAAAATCAAGGTGCAAAGAAAGTCAGTTTTACAGCCTGTCATTCGGGCAAGCTGTAGATAGCATGTACTACCCCGCAAGTCATTTCAATTAGCCCCAAAACCCTTTTTGATTAGCAGGATTGATAACAATCCTTCTGTAAGTTGAATTTCCCCCAAAAAACAGCACTTGCCCATCGGGCAAGTTAAGAACAAAAAACACTATCCCAATAGCAAAATCCACTAGCCCGAAGCTATCGGACACAACTTTCTTTGCACGCTGAAAATGCAGGCTGACAACGGTTTTTTCCTTCTCAGGGAAATAACAAAGATGGAGAACTGGATGACAAGTTCCAGAGCTTGTCTTTGAACAACAATGAAAAGAAAGCTGACACACCAATAGAAGAGGTATGTTTATGAAGGCATCTACAAATAGATTGAAACAAACTCAATTCTAAAAATCCTATATATTTTGAAAACATGGTGTTTACTACTTCTCAAAGTACCTGTATAAAAACATAGTTTTTAATGTTCCAACGTGACACCCAGTGGGTTGGCCCTCACTGGCTCTGTCTTAGTGGCTATAAGGAGTGGAGTGTCCTTGGAGACACATCACCCATGATGTCTGTTCCTTGCCATGTCGTTGGAGATCAAAACTGCCCCCAGTGTCTTACCTTGTGAGCACTGGTTTGGTGTGGTACTTTGTATATTCCTTGTGCTTCCCAGAGTCACTATGTGACCATTACTGGGGAGATAAACCATACAATGGACAGTTTTTGTTATAGTAAACCTCGATATAATGAACCTCTGTTTGGTATACGAAAGATTTTGTCTCTACAGTATCAGTAAAATGCGAGAGTTTCTAGAGTTTATGAATACCAGATTGTTGCTATGTACATGTTTTTGTTTTTCAGTGAATCTCTCTTGTGATTTGTATACATAGGTGTATCTAGTAGATAGTTCTCAGTATTCTGCTGTTAAACTTTAATTTGCGTGTATCTCATTACAGAGCATTGTCTTAATTTCCATAGATTGCTTCTACTGCTAAGAAGCTTTGGGATGTTCAGGACTCAGGGGAAGAGAACCAGGGAGGAATGACTACTGGGATCTTTTTTGGGGAGCAGTGGAGAGAAACTGCGTGGGGCCCATCAGTGCCACACATGGCACAGTCAGAGCACGCTGTGTCTCAGCCCATCATGGTACAAAGGCCTGCTAAAGGAGGTAACTTTAACACTGGTTCTGAGTCGCAAAGTGTCCTTTCTCCAAGGTCAGCAGATGGTGTTGGACTCAGTATGGTTGAGTATGTCTTAGCTTCTTCACCAGGTGGACAGGAACTGGATGCACAGATTATTAAAGCAGGATTTGTAAGTTTTGTTTTTGTTTCTTTTATGATGATGATGATCAGTATCATAATTTTTTTTTGCCTGCCACTACATAATATATGAAATGTTGCTTAGTATGGGGCCACACACACTGACTGTTTTTTTGGGGGATACTCGGCACCGTTTGTTCTGTCCTTAATATAATTAAGTGTCCAGCATTTTTCGCAGAATCCACCTTGGCATCAGCAAGGTTTTTGTTGTGATTATTGTTATTCTTGTTGTTGTTATTGTTGTTGTTGTTGTTGTTGTTGTTCTTCTTCTTCTTCTTCTTCTTCTTCTTCTTCTTCTTCTTCTTATTATTATTATTATTATTATTATTATTATTATTATTATTATTATTATTATTACTATTATTAAACTACCCCTTCTATCCGTACTTTGCCACTTTGTTGCACAGGGTACATCCCCAACTACTGATGTTTTATCTGATAAGGGACCCAAAGCTAAAAATGAAGGCAAGGGAAGCAAAGGAGGCTCGCCATTTGAGGAGGATACTGGTGAGGAGATAAAGAAAGTTCTTCAAGATGAGCAAGGACATGAATCTCCGAAACCTGTCCCTAAGCAAACTGTAGAAGATGACAAGGCTGCTGCAACTTTCAGGTAATGGTAACACCCCCCCGGTTGTTTCAGTTTGTTGTTCTTGTTTGTTGTTTTTTTTTTTCTCCAGCCCATAGAAAAGTGAATCATTTTTTCAGTATTACTGTCCAACGTGACACCCAGTGGGTTGGCCCTCACTGGCTCTGTCTTAGTGGCTGAGGAGCTGAGTGTCCTCAGAGACACATCACCCATGATGTCTGTTCCTTGCCATGTCGTTGGAGATCAAAACTGCCCCCAGTGTCTTACTTTGTGAGCTCTGGTTTGGTGTGGTACTTTGTATATTCCTTGTGCTTCCCAGAGTCACTATGTGACCATTACTGAGGAGGTAAACCATACAATGAACAGTTTTTGTTATAGTGGACCTAAATTAAACGACCCTCTATATTGCAATAGCAAAGCCATCAGTATAACGAGGCACTGACATAGTTTATTTTTCTGCGAGGAGCTCATAGCCATCAAAAGTACTTTTGTTGATCACTGACAAGCTATTGTAGATAAAGGTTTATAGAAAGAGTTCTAAAGTAGGGCTCATACAGGTCATGGAAAACCTGGAATGTCATGAAATTGAATAATTTCATTTTTCAGGCCTGGAAAGTAATGGAATTTAATTGTCGGTCCTGGAAATTTATGGGAATTTAGTCTGGTCGATTAGTCACTGTAGATGTCATTACTGAGTTAGGTCTGAAAATACCCTTAAACAAGGAAAATGTTTGGAAATTTTTAACATAGCAGCTAAACCTAGATGGTCATGGAAAACTTGGAAAGGTCATGAAAAAAGTCATGGAATGAATTGATGTGCTGTAACAGATATGTTAGAAAAGTAAAAGCTGTACCCTTGGCAAAGAAATTGTTGTCACACCACAACCCTACCCTCCTAAAATGACCAGTGGCCCTGTTTGGCTATGGTGGCTTTTGAATAATAATTTATTATAATGATACTTTATTCAAATACATATGCATATAAACATGATACATATTTGAAAAGGTGGACCAAAAGGTTATGTCTATAAAAGGTTCCCTAACTGAACTTTTAAAATGAAAAAAAATACATTGAAAATCCTTATTGTAGGTGCAAAATGGTATATTAAGAATGATATCTAAAGTGAAAATATGTACAATTAAAATATGAGCTATTATGTCAATAAATTTTCATCCACCTTTTTAAGCCTTTTTTTAATTTGTTAAAACATTAATTTCATCTGTAAAGAGGTGGTTTGGTAGATTGTTCCGGGAAGGAGTACGTAAGGGAGTTAACTTAAGCTGATTTCGTTTGCATCTTGTATAGAAGGTTGGCTCTAATGTTTTTACTTGTACAATACTCAAAGTAGTCATTAAAGTCTAGACCATAATGCTGTCTTGTAGCATTCCACTACAGACAGGTATTCTCTTTGATACAAGTGTGTTCCAGTTTAGCAATTTACATTGTTCTTTGTATGACATCATGCGTGGTTTTTGAACGAGAGCAATTCACTATGTTCTTTGTTGCACTTTTTCGATATCCAACTTATTAGAAGGATAATCAAAATGTTTATGTAAGGTGTCTTTATCATTGACAGTAATAATAATGATGAATTAAAAGACTGATAAATGATATTAATTTTGTTTGATAACATGTGTTCCTTATTTGATTTCCTTGATTTTGGAAAAAAGTGTGATTCAATGAGGCTTTAAATTTCAAATAGGTAGACCTTTGGGCCTGTCTAAAGTGCATCGAGGGGTCAAAGAGAGCCAGTCATTTTCTTGTAAAATAGATTTTTCATGGCACTTCATAGGTGGTGATTTTCATGTTACAATTTGTCAGTTCTTCCTTTCAACAGTTGACTTAGCAGTAAGTAGGTCCATGAATTGATAATTCAACCAATTTGTGGTGTGCATTTTACAATATAATTTCTCACGGTTTGAGTTGAGGCAGGTGTCATCAAAAATACAGATCACATGCTATGAAAGATATATATTTTAGTCTGATGTTAAGTCCTCTCAAGCAAGTAAATGTTCTTTTAGTCACTGCTATAATGTGCAGTGTGTTCACTTAGTGTGTTACTTAACAGTACAATATATATTTGATTTAAAACAAGACCTTGACCTTGCTAAACAAAAAGCTCTTAATTTATTCATCTTTTAGATGTGAATATTTTATTAGGAGTATGACTTATTCATGAGTTTTGTCTGAATTGGGACTGCATTTTGCCAGCTTTTCTTCGTAGGAATCAAAGAAACTGACCAATTTCCCTTTTCATAGGAAATATTTAGTTTGACTCTGATTTTTAGCTAGGTATTTTGTTTTGCAAAGCAAGGAAGTATTTATTAGCCTCGAATTTTCTGTGGGCTTAATATTGACAACTGTTATGCATTTATGATATTTGCATGTTCAGAGTTGCAAGGTATGCCCTCTTACCTGTTCATTTTGTTATCAGTTTCACTTTCTTCAAGTATAAATTGTTCCAAATCGGATCATCATCAAAATGTTAATGTTTTGTTTCTGATGCATCTAAAATGCTTTCAAGTGATTTCAGCTTAACTGGCCATGTTTACGTTTCATTGTCAATTGCATCTTACCTAATTTCAATGGTCCATGTTTGATTTTGATTTTATCAAAAAAACAAGGTAAAGTTGTTTTCGCTAGCTTGTTCCTAGAGTTTTTAAAATTATTGCCTTCTTGGAAAGTTTAACATTTAATTACATTAATTTTATTTTGAATAACATTGTGTATGCTTTATGCTGTTTCTTTTTGCAAATTAGATGTGAGGTTTTGTTGACTTTCTGTGTAATGTTGCATGGAGAGTCTAAGCCACCACAAAATAAATTTGGCAAGAAAAATCTCTGATCTCAGCATCTGTAAAACTGATAAAACAGAGCCACTGGTAAATTTTCACTTAGTTGCTTTCATTTTCATGGTTTCACCATAGGGTTCTGTTTATACTTTGAAAAGGTAAAACCACATTGAACAGCATAATAAACACACAAAGCAGTGTACTATAAAAAGATTATGCTTCATTTTTTTGTTTGAAACATAGGACAAGCCAAAAGTTGAACCAGGTTTATTTAACCCCAATAAAAGGAAAAGGCCTGATATTAAAGACATTATTTTCTGCTCTAGTCATTTCAATAAAATTTTCTCAGTGTAAACTCTAACATAACAAATAACCCACAGCGAGGAACATTTTTCCTAGTTGGTAATGTGGGAATTATGCAAACCATTTTTAAGTCCCTGAAATGTAGTAAGTTTGTTTTTGTTTGGTTATGTTCTTGTTTATTAGATTTACATATTTTGTCTGTTGTTTCTTCAGCCGAACTCCAGGCAGTAGACAGCCCTCTCCTACTACAAGTTCACAGCAACAGGATGCTCAGCAGGCCACCCAAACTGCCCACACAACTCAGCCACCCATGGGGCAGATTAAGCCTAATATCTACAAACAGCCAGATTCTATTGAAGATATTGCACCTCCTGTGGCATTGATAGATCCTCTTGAAAGTGTGCATCTAGAACAGCTTCCATTTGCGCAGCAGAGGGAGCCAGCTGTTGGCACTCCTACCAGTCCTTCAGACTTTGTAATGGTGACAGGGGCATCTCTGCCAAACAATGTCATTACATCGCAGCAAAACCAATCACTCCAGATGTCCCAACAGCATCAGATTGCACTGGCAATGGCTGCCCAACAGCAACAGCAGCAACAACAACAACAGCTGGGATTACAATCCAGTCTGCAATCTACTGGTCTTGGTCATCCAAATCCTTATTTCATAACAGCTCAGCCAACGCAGGATCCATATGGCAATCCATCTCTAGCTGCTGTAAGTGGGGGTGCCCCTCAAGTGGTCCATCCTCATCAGTACGCAGCATACAGTGTCCAGCCATGGGGGGTGTATTCCACAACAGGTGCAACAAGTAGTGGAGGGTATCTTCAGCAGCAGCAGCAACAACAGCAGCAACAACAACAGGCTCAACATGCACAGCTTCTGCGATCCAACTCTGGTGGCATGGCGGGGCGTCCAATGCAGGGGCAGATGGAAATTATTGGAACACCCCCGTCACACCAGCAGCATTCCATGGCTGCTGCAGCTTCTCCTGGTACAAACTATCAGCTGATTGCACCACCTGGTGCAGCACCATTAGGATTAGGAACAACTGCATACTACGATCAGTCTGGAAACTTGGTGCTGGGTAATGCACAGAATGTGAACAACATGGCCACAGCGCAGATGGCTGCAGGGCAGATGGGCACACTGAGGATGGTTTCTCCAGTTGTGGTGAATGCCCAGAATGCTGGTGCTAGCTCAGTGGCTGCAGGTAGAATGGGAAGTGCCAGCTCAATGGGTGGGGCTTCCAGCATAGGCTTGTTTGGACAGCAAACTCAGCAGCAGCCACAGTTAAATAGTAGTGCCTTAGGAATGCTTGGTAATGTTGTAGGAGGATCTTCTGGTGTTGGCGCTGTGGGGACCATCCCTGGGGGAGGAGCGACAAGACGAGAATCAATGAATGCTACGGACTATGGTAAGAGAGCAGGTATTGCACAATACTATGCAACCCCTAGTGGAATGAGCAGCCTTGCCAGTTTATCTATCTCAGCACAGCCCTCTTACAATGCCCCGCAAGAACTTCCAACCCCTCCTCTTCTCTCACAAGGGCAGTCTCCCTTTGGTAGTCAGTCTGGTTACGGAGGGCAGTCAGGATTCACTGTAGGCAGTCCTATCTCAAATGGTCTCTCGCGCTACATGCAGCTTGCTGCTGCTCCTCGGGAGTCTACCAAGTACCAGGGGTCTCTAGGCGGCTTCAGTGGGATGCAGTTTGGTGCATCTGCCTTAGGTGGAAGTAGCTTAAGAGGTTCCAGAGGCAAAGAAACTGGTAGAAGCAGGCTGTTGGAAGACTTCCGCAATAACCGCTACCCTAACATTCAGTTACGTGACCTGGCCAATCACATTGTAGAGTTCTCTCAAGATCAACATGGCTCGAGGTTTATTCAGCAGAAGCTTGAGCGGGCCTCTCCTAATGAAAAGCAGATGGTCTTTCATGAAATCCTCCCAGCTGCTTACAGCTTGATGACAGATGTATTTGGAAATTATGTGATACAGAAGTTCTTTGAGTTTGGTAGTCCTGAGCAGAAGCATCTTCTTGCCAACTGCATCCGTGGTCATGTGTTACCACTTGCCTTGCAAATGTATGGATGTCGTGTGATACAGAAGGCACTCGAGTGTATTTCTCCTGACGTTCAGGTAAGGGATAACTTGTTTCACTGTCCAAGAGTGATCAACATCAATTTTCTCCCAACAGTAGTAATACATTGTGAAGAGAATAATTGACAATTATTGGACGAGGTTAAGCAAAATATCGTGATTTGTCTGTGCCAAGCAGATCAATTATTTGCCAAAGCCAAAGGCTGAGGCAAATTTGACACTGACAAATCACGATATTTTGCAATAACCGAGTTCAATAATCGTTTTATCATTCACCGAACACTGAGTTTGTTTTTTTTTAAAGAATATCCTGGGTAGTGAAGGGATCTGCCATTTTCACGCAAGAGCGATTGCAAGAAGGAGAAAAGCACGGTTTCCTTTACGCATGAGCAGAATATTATTTGCACTAACCAAACACAGTTGGACGGCATTGCACATGAGCAGACCATTATTTGTAGGCAGTTATTTGCAGGTCACATGGTGGGCTTTTGGCCAATGAAAAGGAAGAAAAATTTGCATGGAATGATAATTCTAATTATTGGTTGTGAGAAATATAAAATGATCAACTTGGTTACAGAAAATGACCTTTACGAAACGGTGATGTAGGAGCTGCTTGGAAGGTCTTCCTGATTCTTTTTTTAAACAATGGTAATTCGTTGTTTACCATTGTTTTCCTGGTGGGTAGCAAACGAATTCCTTAGGAAATGTATGAATGTCAGTATGGTGAATTGGGGCTTAATGGAGATCAATCTAGAGAACTATGGTTTGTACAATCTTGGAAAGGTCTTAAATTTTACTAGTCGTCATGAAAAGTCCTTAAATTCGGTCAAAAGTACTTGATTTCTTTATTAGGTCTTACAAAAGTCCTTGAAATTCACAACCTTGGGCACACCAGACAACCTTTTTCTGTAGAATGAGATTATTTTGCCTAGGCAAATTTGGCTTATCCTTAGTGTAAGAACCTGTAAAACTCACGGGTAATGTAAAAACAATTTTTGTCCATGAACAATATTTTGTTTCCATTTTTTTTATTTCAAATGCTATTTCTATACCTCATATGCAATTGCAAGTCATACCCAGTCATTTTGCAGAAAGTCATATAAGTTAACGTGATCAATGATGGCCGATGACGTAAAAATTGTAAATGACTCCATGATGTGTTTTAGCCAATAAGGGTGACCAAAGGGGGGTTAAAGAATGCTGATTTATCAAATAAATCTTAGGTATTGGGGCATAAATTAAAGGGTTAAATGAAAGTACTGCGAGACAGGTTATGCAGTTTTTTTGTCCTAAGGCTAGAAGGATAACTTTTAATAACCTTAGTGTGGACAACTCTGCTATGATGTTCTTTCTTCAGTAACTGTATCTGTTTTGAAACAGAGGGGTCATTGTTCTTGTTTTGGTTTAATTTTAGAATGACCTGGTGAGGGAGCTGGATGGACATGTGCTGAAGTGTGTCAAGGATCAAAATGGAAATCATGTCGTACAAAAATGCATTGAATGTGTAGACCCATCGTCACTTCAGTTTATTATTGGAGCATTTCAAGCACAGGTAATGGGCAGCAAAGTATAGTTTACTGTGAAATTTACTGAAATCACTGCAACTACGACAACATTAGCAGCTTCAATAGCTCATAAAACCTCTTTGTATAACCATGTCTCGTAAGTGGGCACCTCCCATAAACGACCACTTATCAAAAACACCAAAATTTTCCCAGTCAAAGCCCTCTAATAGAAACCTCCCATAAACGAACACTTCTCTAAGCAACGCCGACTACTAGTTGGCTTGACAGTTTTATAGTATTGCAATGTTTTTAACCTCTTGTACTTGGGGCATGGTGTAATCTCTTTGTTCACTCTATCTACTATACCAGTCAGAGTATACAACGAACTTTTAGTAACAACATGAAACTACATGTAAACGTACCTGAAAAATTGCATGCAAAACGTTGTCTGCTAAAAAGTAAACATGTCAGGACTTATTCTTGGAAGAGACTTCCTGTGGTTCAGGTTTAGTAAGCAACCAATATCTTTGGATTTTGGGTGGTCACTTACAGGGGTTTGACTGTATTGTGATATAATGATTTCAACCCTCAACACCCAGTCACAGAATGGTATTAATAAAATATTAGTAGATTCTGTTACCATTATATGTGTAACTTGTAAAGTTTATCTTGATCTTGTGTTTTCAGGTCTATGCCCTCTCAACTCATCCTTATGGCTGCCGTGTGATTCAGCGTATCCTTGAACACTGTATGCCAGAGCAGACAAGTCCTATCCTGGATGAATTACACCAGCATACTGAGAGACTAGTACAAGATCAATATGGCAACTATGTGATTCAGCATGTGCTGGAGCATGGCACACCAGAGGACAAGAGCAAGATTGTTCATGAGCTTAGAGGGAACATACTAATTTTTAGCCAGCATAAATTTGCAAGGTAATATTTCCTAGCAAATAAAAAAATGTAGAAAATTGTTGTTAGCCATTTTCAAGAAATGCTTTCCTAACAGTAAGATGGTCCATTCAGTTGAAACAGTGGTGATCTATCCCCTTGCAGACTTCTTAGACTGTGAAATATGAAGGTTCGGATATGCAATAAATAGCCAATCTGTTACCTTGTCATAGCCAGAGAAATAGACTACAGTGCAACTTTTGAATACATTCTTTTTCTCTCGCGGTACAGCACCTCAACACTTTATGTGGGGGTTCTGCGGTGATTTTTGAAATGCACAGTGCCTGTGCTGTGTCATGTAGTCATAGATGTGTATAGTCATCATAGGCAAGATATTTTGGTTGGACTGTCTTGTAATAGCTTAACAACATTGCAGTCACCTGGCTCCTTTGTGGAAGACCCATTAATATTAATCTGTACTTTTCCTTTCAGTAATGTTGTGGAAAAATGTGTGACTCATGCCTCACGTGCTGAACGAGCTATGCTCATTGACGAAGTTTGCGGCAGCAGTGATAGGTAAGAACCAAAGTCTATAGTGCATTTGATTTATTTATTTATTTGTCAATGTCTTTTATTTTTATTGCATAACTTTGATAGCATTTGCTTTACACAACATTGTTAGTTTAGTTTTTGGCAACCTCCAAAAGTTGTTGTCACATGTGCCCATAAAACATGTTCTTTTGTAATTTCTGTACTTTTGAACCCTGTATTATGCAGACGTCATGTCAAAATTCAACAGAAATTGCCCATTTTCTGTTAAGTGATGGAAAACAAATAGTACAATGTTAAAGTACTGAAAAGAAGTTCCAAGTTAATGGTTACTTGATAGGATTTTGTCCACAGATTAAAAAATTAGAACTACCGTACAAGACCATCTTTCATTTAAGGAGTGAAGAGGTTAAGTGGACACAAGGCACAAGTGTTTAGTTATGTTTCTCTTTTGTATCTCCTGAGCAGTGCCTTATACACCATGATGAAAGATCAGTTTGCTAATTACGTCATCCAGAAGATGATTGACGTGGCAGAACCTCCTCAGCGAAAATTACTGATGCACAGGATTAGACCACATGTGCCAACACTCCGCAAGTACACTTATGGCAAACACATTCTGGCCAAGTTAGAGAAGTATTATATGACCATGAAACCAACACCCGAGTTTCTACCTCTTACAAATGGCCCGTTACTGTAGTAGCTGTCCTGTCCGGTCTTTTGGCAAGATCTTAAGTGGTTTAACTTGAGTAATCCCAAGTTAAAACCTTTGGGAAGTTAATTTTTGGTTTGTGAAGCTTGTGGGCAGCTTTTTCAATACATAATTTAGTTTTGAAAGAGTACTTTTCCTTGACTGATGCATTGCTTTGTGAATGCATGTCTGCAAGATTATAATACTATGTGTCATCATAATCTTTTAAAGGGTTCAGTTGATTTAAAATTTAATTAGTACGATTTATAATCCTGTGCTAGATTTGAAATCTTAACTGTTTTTTGATGACAAGTTATTATTAAGTTATTTGTTAAATCTGTTTTGATCCATTTTGAATTATGGTGGGTTCCCTTTGAACACATGCCTTGCATCCTTGATGTTAATAGTATCAAACTATTTTAATTCTTGATCACCATTCATATTGTTAACTTTCATCTCCTACCTCAGTGTTGCTTTCATTTTTAAGGCAATCAAAGTTCTTTGGCATGCCAACTCTAATAAATATTATTGATGAAATGTATTTTAAAATGTGCAGTAGGAAGTAAAAGCTAGGGAGCATAGGGTTATAACATCAGTAAACGGGCTAGGTCAACTGTCCTTTCTTTTTTTCATTATAATTTATCTTTCTGAAATAGCATAACATTATTGGTGACTAAAAAATGTACATGTTGCAGCTTGTCTAGATCACAGGAGTACATCCACAGTTTAAGCGTTTAGGGCTTTATGCCTTCCTATAAATAATAGTTTCAAGGATCAAAAGGGTTGAACCTAATTTCTGCAACCCTCTATCTGCGACCATTTTGGTCGCCATGGTTCCTAAAATTTTGGAGCTGGCAACTTGATCTGTGAAAAAGTCTCCCTAAACCAAAACAGTTGGTTGCCAACTGGTGACCGAGCAAAAACTTTAACTTGGAGGGTTGTTCTGTGTGGCATAAAATATCCTTGCTTTCTGAGACTGTTGCGTTTGCATGTTTACTCTATTCTAGTTTCCATTTTCATGAGTTTTTCTCTGAATATCTCTAGACAAAGCAGCATCATAAGTCAACCAGCAAAACGTTTTATTGATCTAGCCCTGATAGAAGTAAATCTATCTCCTAATTTTATTTTTCAGTGATCTTTTACGATTCTTATATAGGTAACTGTTCGTATCATTGTTTGCTATTCAAATCATTTTCCTCAATATTGTTATTGTGTACTAAGTTATTGTGAGTTGTATGTTTTAAGCAGTGGAGGTCTTACTTCTACAGTAGTTCTACCAGTGTCGTTCTTAATTAGAGGTAGAAATTTTTGATAGATCTGTTGCACATACTCAAAGTGAACAAAGTGTAAACAATTTGCAGAATATTATAGTCATGATCAAGCATATTATAAAAATAAGCCAAGCCATTTATCCTTTTTTCTTATGATCCTATATGGGTTTTTAGGATATGTTAATCAATTTAATATCGTTGTAATATTAATACAGTGGATGCTTTATTATGAAACAAGAGCCTTCGAGAAAATTGAAATTGTTTATATTAATTAATGTACAATTGTACCATACATGCAGGAATCTAACTTAAAACTATTATCCTATTGTAAATTGTTTTCGTACTGAATTAAGTCGAAGAACCTTGACTCCATTACTTGCAGGAGACTCTGAACTTATTATTGTACGGGCATGCTCAACCAAACTGTCTCTTTCTTAGCAGTTCAGTTGTTAAATATTCACGTAACTAACAGGAAAGTGTCTTAAGACATAGAGAATAACAATAATTGTTGAAGTTCAAAATCGATGGAAGTGGATTCTTTGTCGGTGCAGCTTATTTGAAATCAGAAATTTTCCATCCATACCAAATTCGGCACAGCACGCAAAGCAGTTTGGATAAACATTGCCCAGTAAAATAATTTGTTCTTCTTGTTTATTATCACTTTTAATTTTTAGCGAACTACAAACTCTTATCATTCTATTATCAACCAGGTTGCTTATTATTGTAGCGGTTTTCATTTGAATGTCACCGGAAGGGAGTGTTCTTGTAGCTGGTAAATAAGTGATCAAAGGCAAGTTAAAATAACTTAAAAGTGGGTAGGTCGTCTATAGGTCGTTTAGTACGAGCTGCAAACTCATGTCAGTCTCGTTAACCAAGTTTCGACTATGAAAACGACAAAAATGATGACGAGTACTTTCATACAATTCAAGATAGACATGAAATAAATTGATTCTATATTTCAGATTTGACTTAACATAATCCGTTTTAATCCTCTTCATTTGTTTTCGTTTCTCCCCCTTTGGCTTTACGTTATTTGGTTCGTGTTCCTGTAGAGCTGGAAGTGGTTATTTTTGTTATTTTGTTGTTATTTATTGATTTTTTTTTAGGGGGGGGCGGGGGTGAGCAGATTAAGTTCTGTTGCAACATGAAAGGTAAAGTTTTGTTTCCCAATTCCTTGTTTTACGCGAGTTTTTCTGCCAGTTAAATTATTGACTCTTAATTTAAAGCTATGCTATTATGAGTATATTAGGACCAATTTAATAAACTGGAAGGTTCCTGCGTCATATTATGATAGCCACAAGTGAAGCAAAAGTGCCATGAAAATACTGCAGGGAAAGATTGAGCTTGTGAACTAGTGTTTAATTAATGGGCGTGCTTATATCTACAATTGTCATAATATTTTTAAATCTCCCCGACAAATTACAAGTTCTGCCCTTGATAAGTATTGTTAAATAGTTTAATCATGTGTAATAAGCGCCCAAGTTTCTAGGTTTTGTACGTATGTTGTGCCATAGTGAAACTACCTGAATGATCGAAGGTTCTATACATATAAGAAATTTAAGCTATGTAAAGTGATGATTTTCAACTCAAGTATATGTACACCTTTGGCCTGTCTGTAACAAACTTCCTGTACATTTTGTACATTTGTAAATGGCCATCAGCAAATACATTATATTGCTTTTTAACTGACATTCTGTATAGAGAGACCCTGAACAAAACGTAATATTAACTTGTTATAAACTATAACCAGGAGTACAAGTCTCTAATGCAATATGTTGCAGCCGTCTTGTTTCAGAAATCCGACGATGAGCCCCCTTGTCAAAGATTCAACCCGATTGAACTCGGAAAAATTCGATTAAAAATCGTATTTCGTCAGCTATCTTCGCTTTTGTCAAATTGGCTCATTCTGTGTTGCGATCTGTGATCTCGGGTCTTTTAAGTGATAGTCGACTTTCACGCCACGGGAAGAGCACTTGTACTTCTAAATTTATACCGGACATGGCAGTTTTGCTTCGGTTAAAATCTCCTACCACTGTTCATATGTATTCTCAAAACCAAATGCGAGTAAAAAATTTATAAAAGTTATAATATTGTAAGGATATTATGTTATAATCAAAGCACATGTCGAAGTTATTGCCGTTTTAGGTTTTAGTGTAATTTTAATTGTTATGAGCTCATTTTTCAGAGCTCGTCATTATAATACTGATATCGCGGTGTAATCATGCTAAGGGTAGGTTTTTTGTATTTTATTGTGTAATAACGACAAGGACCGCCTTGTAAAATGTAAGCGGTCATGTAGAGAATGTAAATGATGTAAAGAAAAGTAGACTTTTGAATTGCTGTATTAAATTGGAAGGTGGTTGCACAAATAAATCATGTCGTTTATCAGTAGTTGTTATGGTTTTTCAACCCCCAGGGCTGTGAGAAGAAATAGCCGAAATAATTCAGTAAAAACTCATTGACTTTTCGTTTCCAATCAGATCCTCTCCATTAATTTATTAAGAATGGGTTTGGTATGCACATGTGTGAATTAATTCCTGGTTTGAAATATTATGAAATGAATCATTTTTTGAACTGCGGATGAAGATTTCCGAAGGTGAACATGATCTTCGCTGTAGAATGAACAGCCTAAACGGTTGAAAAACAACCTGACCGGGAATGGAACCCTGACCTTTGCGATGACTGGACGCAACGCTCTATCCACTGAGCTAATGAAGCCAACTGGAGAGCAGGCTATAGTTCGTAATATACCTGATGGTGGAAATGATATGATTGAAATAAATCAATCATATTTTGAACTGCGGATAAAGATATATGAAGGTGAACATGATCTTCGCAGTAGAGTGAACAACCTAAGCAGTCGAAAATTTAATTCCGTTTTTGAAGGTAACTCCGAACTTTGCCTTCGTAAATTTCTTTGATGGCTAAAAAGTAGCCATTAGTATGGAGCTTTGTTTACCTTTGCAAGCGATTAGAGTTTCTCTCTCCGTGGCAGAGATACAAAACGTTTCCCCACTCCAAAAACTGTCAAAGGGAATGGGTACAAGCTTTCCGCGCAACGATTTTTGGGATCGTTTTGGTGGACAAGCGTTTGCTATGATTGGTTTGCCTTGAATACCATCGACCAATCATAACCACTTGCGAACGATCCCAGAATTCGATGCACCGAAAGCTTTAACCTATTCCCCTTGCGCAACAGGGCGGGAGAGGAAAGAAGAGGGCAAACCTTGTGTGACAGCTACGCAAGCGTGACAATAATGTTGTATGAAGCTGTAACTTTTCGCCAAACTTCACTTTCCTTTAAACAGATCTCTTTGTAGAGAAAACATAAAATGTTAAGCGAAGATAACGTCAAAATACGCGAGTAATAGCTTTGTCACGTTCGTCACGCACAAGCGTTTTGCCGTCCTCTTCTTCCTGCCGTCTTGTTGCGTAAACACGTAGTTTCTGTAGTCGAAAATCTTCTTGGTGTGTGCCGTAAAACAAGTTATTTATCGGAACTTCTCGCCTGAAACTTTTAAAAACACGGCTATACTACAGACGTTCGCTAGTCTACCTTAAAAGAAATTTCACGAATCTTGCATTCGGCATGGGATTCTTGGGGGGTTATATTTTGGCCGAGGGATTTTTTCGGATTTGATTTTGTCCCCATTCGATCATCCCTTCAAACCACAGGGTACCCACACAATTTGAGTTCGTCGTTGACTGTTCCATGTTCTCTTCTCCCCCTCCCCCCTCCCCCATCTTAAATCTCCTCTCCCCTAGCCCCTTAGGAAGGCCTGATACTCAGGCTACGACAATGGCTACGACGAACCTTCAGGGCGGAAAAACGTAATGAGCATGCGTGAACTTTTTTGCCCAGATCCCCTGGCCGGGTTTGAAAAAATGGCGGGATTTCAAATATTTTATTGCCGAAAAACAAAATGTTTCCACTCATAATCTGGAAAGAACAGGCAATTTGTCTTCAAAAGTTGCAAGCTGTGGTTATAACCTTGTCGTTGCTTAATTTTTTCGAAGAATACCTCATAGCAAAACGGACTTTAATGACATTAATTTCCTTCCGTTGTACTGGACTGTGCATGCGTAGGTCCCATTTTTTTCGAGATGCATTCACAAAATGTGTTCATATAAGGAAGTTCCTGGATATATAAGGTCCGGAGCTCCACTGTGGACACAAAAACAACATATCTTTGGACAGTGATTTGCCCAAAAAAATTAACGCTTGCCCACAATGTGTTTGAGGTCACTGAACTTTTTCGCACTCGAGCTGATATTTTAAAACCCTCGCTCGATCGGACACTCGTAGTTTCGCAGATCACTAAAATATAAACAAAATCCTCAATGTAGAAGTTATTGCGTTGATATGTGGGCAGAAAAAAGGTCAATCTTTATCTAGTAAAATCTTCCCAAAAATCGGTTTCCCAAAAGCAACTATAGTTTTTTAAACTTGCTCGTTTCGCGCACATATATAAATTTTGCTTTGTGGTGTCAAGTTGAACACGCATAACATCTGACAAAAACCTACGCGTAAGGATTTCCTTCAAACAAAGTTAAAGTTACATTATTTCAAAAACTTCTTGCTGACAATGAAGAGATGAATTTTCTGTGCGAAAACAACCTACCTATCAAAAGATCTTAAAAGCAAAAGATCAGTTGCAACTTGGCAGCCAAGCCATGATTCACCATTTAGCTATTTTCAATAAGCTTAACTGGTCCATGCGAGGGTCTTCGTTTAAGCAAATTAAACTCAGCCGATCGTTAGAAAACACAGAAAATTGCACATAAGGGTTTGTTTTGCTCGCCTCAGTCAAATCAAACTGCAGCAATTGTTTACGGGAAAAGAGTCAATTGTTTTGAAGTCACTGCCGGTAGTTGTCGTTCTCTACTTCACAGCGAGTGAAAAGGACAATTTGCGTACAGAAAGTTATTTTTATAAAGAACAGAAACTTTCACAGTGCACTGGAAAACAAAACTATGTAATGAAAAATGAAAAAAACTCTGACTATTATTGCTCGAGCAACAGAAAAATGATCTTGAGTAAGCTTGCTGGCCTTCTATTTCCGAGAAAGTTTAATAAGCGCAAAAGTTTGTTCACTCTGATGCGTTATAACAGCAATATGTTTCTTTGACTGAAGACAAAGATTAAGCTGGTTCTGCAAAGGTAATAAATCTGGGCATGTAAAAACAGTAACCGTAACTACTAATAACAGAATACAAGCGGGTTTTAATTCAACCCGGCGAAATCAACTCATAAATTAATCGGATTCACAATCAGAAAAATACTCGCCTCTTAAGAAATGTTCAAAACCTTTTATTCCACCTCAGACTGACGGAATGATCCGTTTTTCCTTTAACATTGGTTGTTCTGAATCCAAAGTAATTTTCAAGCGACGAAAAAAAAAAGCAAACGTGTCAAATAAAAATGCTTTACAGGGAGCAAACGTTCGCACCTCGTGCATTTCACTCAGAACTCCAGCAAAAAACAAACACAGTCAACACACAGAAAAGCCCGCCTTGAGCCTGCGATAAGGGATGCGCAGAAGCTTGCGCAGAACGTTTTTCCGCCCTGAACGACGAACCACAGGCGGGCAGCCTAGTTCCAGTCTCCCATAGCGTTCGTTGCAATTCGTTCTGACATACATTCAAGATGGCGGGTCAATATCCTGGGTACAATCCGTATGGCGGGCAACAACCACCTCATCAAGGTACGATAATCGTCATTTAAACCCTTGTAGTCAGTTACCTTACTTCTCTTTTCAAAATATAACGTGTTCGATCTTGGCTTTTTTTCTTTTCGCACAGGTGTTTTTGAACTCGTTCGCTCCAATCATTTCTAAGAATGAAAATGAAGCGAAGGACGCTAAAACTTTAACATAGAGTCTTGATATACACAAAAACTTCTCCTAATCAATATGGTGTCTTCAGTTGCGAAGAAAAGTGGGAATGAAAGGCGTGCTTCGTTTTCGAGTCTATATAAGCTTATTGTTTGAAGCTACAAAAGGCAACATGACTATTAGACCACGAATCCCCCCGTCCCTCTCTTTCTTTCCCTCTCCCTCTCTTAGCTAGATGGACAGACACCACTGGTGTAGCAGAAAGCGTCCATCTTAAAGATATGTCTGCTTCAATATAGAGAGTTAAAGAGTATAAGAAATAGAGACATGACTAACGTGAGTTATTGTCTTTTAAAAAAAATATGGATACCTGTAATAATTATGCTGTGGCTATATGCCCGGCAGCGGGGAAGGGTCTTAAAAATGCCTGGCAGTCAGAAGAGATTTTGGATTTTCTCAACAATGAAAGTATTCTATCGTCATTTAGAATTACTAAGCGAATAGGGAAACAGGAATGGCTTCGGAGGTAGGGTGGTTCCTTGGGCATAGAGTAGAGTTGACACTGTTTCGACACTTAGAAAAATTTCATGAGTGGTAGGGCATGACTGTTGAGATAGGAAAATCCCCCAAAATAAGTCTCTTTTTAACCTACATGACACCTCTCCAAGCCACCTCGAAATGCCATGTCATGCAAAAGGTTAGAAATTCATGTGTATTGTATCACAAAACAAAGAACCCTTTTAAAGTGAAAAAACTCAGAGGATTGATAACTGTTAATTATTTTGGCAATGTCATCTGAAAACCAAGAATACATAAAAATTATATTTAACAACTTAGTATAAATACCCCCAGTAGGTGAATAAACAATGAGTTTGTTAGTTACATTAGTATTACCCCACAATACAATACCTGTCCTTTTCAACAGGTTATGGAATGTCAGGCTATGGAAGCACACCAGGCTACCCTCTTCAGATGGGTTATCCAGCACATGGTGGGGGATACCCAGGGAGCTTTGGAGGACCCCCAGGTCCTCCACCAGGAGCAGATCCTACTTTGTGGAGTTGGTTTATCACAGTTGACAGGGATAAATCAGGGCAGATAACAGCAGATGAACTCCAGCAAGCATTAATAAATGGAAACTGGTCACATTTCAACAGCGAAACTTGTCGGCTGATGATAGGTATATAATGTAACACCATTTCTAAGTTATTTTTTGTTAGCAACTGAGTTGGGGTAGTGATTAGGGTTGTTTACCATTTACAAATCTGGTTGGGAAGTAAATGGAACACAACCTTTTGGGTCATTCCGGCGGAAAATTTCCAGGAGAAATGGAACATTTGAAAAGGTAATCCTGTTTATAATCCGGAAAGAATATTCCAAGCAGAAATTCATGTTCCAATTCTTTAAAGCATTCTTTGATACTAGTTTCAGGCTGTTGTGGTCATTTTTTGGTAACTGATTTGTACTGATAGAAAGTGCGATTCTGGGATTTATTTAGCAGTCCTACATTTTATGTACCATTTGCCTAAACAGTTGACCAAATAGTTTGACCATGTAATTAATGGTAAACAACCTAGAAGTAAAAAAGCTTACGATCTAGAGGAAACAGTTTTAAAAAATGCACAGTGCTTATTGAGGGCACTATTTTTGCATCTCCTACTGGAGATGTGGTGATGCCGAGCAGTGCCTTTATTTCGCTGCTATTTTAAGACCCTGAGCATTGGTCCGGCCACTGGAATTGAACTCATTGCCTCCTGCTCTGTAGTCAGGCACTCTCCCTACTTACATTGTAGCTTATCCTTACTGTGGTTATGCAAAATTTCATATTCCACTCGACGCAATGATTCACAAGAAGGCAAAAATTGATCGGCTACGATCAGCAAGCAAAGCTACAATGCAACGTACCACTTGCAAAAGAGCACGCAAGGAGCCCTGCAATTCCCCCAGGGCTGCCCTGTAGGTCACGTACTGGAGTGGGCAAAGACTGCTAGCTAACTCTCTCAAGTTTAACTTTGCCTAAATGATGTTTAGCCACATTAAAACCTAGCTATTGAAAACCACAGGCCAGTAGTTCAAATAGTTGATAGTGCTATTGCTATTCACTGGATAATGATTTATACATTGGATAGCACTATCCAACTTTTGAACAAAGTGGCTCCAATCACTGAATTCATAAGCATAAGCAGAAGACATAACCAATTGCAAGGCATCAAAAAGTGTGGGAATAAGCATTGTGATTGCTTGCTCTTTTACTTCTGTGCTAGACTCCAGTGATCTGGTTTTCAGTGATGGGTTATGATCAGAGTAAGTCAAAGAAAATGAGAATGTTCTGATTAATGTTACTTTCTTTTAAAAAGTTTACCCAAATTTTTTTATTTCATTGGTCATAAGCACTCTTAGCACTCAGCCCCCTTGCTTGTCAGTTTTTCACAAAATCACTTGAGTAGCATTTGTAGTCGAGTGCTTTTTACTCAGCCCTCCATGTTAGAAAGACAAGACTACCACTCCTGATGCTTGATCAACCAAAAATTAATTAATAAAAACTTCAAGTCTAATATAATACTCAACAGAGTTCTTCTTGGTTTTGATAACCACTGGTTGATTTATTATTTAGGTATATTTGACCGAGATCATTCTGGTACCATAAATTTTCAAGAATTTCAGCAATTATGGCAATATATTAACCAATGGAAGGGAGCATTTGACAGATATGATCAGGACAGATCGGGAGCAATAGAGGCTCATGAGTTGCACAGAGCATTTGCTGAGATGGGATTCAATGTGTCTGCTAACTTTGTCAGCCTTGTTGTAACAAAGTAAGTCTGTTTAATAATGACAATATGAAATATACATATACTGTACAAAACTCTGACAGGAAAAGGAAAATCTCCCAGCAACGACCTTGTAGACAGTGCTTGGCTACTCTAACAACTGAATGGGTCCCTTGTTGCTATTGTTTTATTTGCTATTGTTATTGTTGCTATTGTTTTATTGCTGTGGTTTTTGGTTTTGTTTCTGTTTTTATTATTACCAGGGTATTATTATCATTATTATTCAAACAGACACATGTCTCGCTTTTATGTGGTTTTTTTTTTTATGGCATACTATAATGTGGTTCAACCAGTTATGTTTTAAGTAATATTTAAGACTGTTTTGGGTTGAAACAATCATGGCAAAATTGTTTCAAAAAATGTTGGAATGTGTCTTGTGCTTTATCCAAACAGGTTTGACCAACTTGCCCGTCGTAGTTTGAGACTAGACAGCTTTATTCAATGCTGTGTGATGCTGCGTGCCTTAACAGATGCATTCAGAGTGAGGGATACAAATCAGAATGGAAGCATTACTATTAGCTATGAGGACTTCATGTGCATGGTGCTATTGAACAAGCCATAGAATAACGGACTTGAAAGTCTTTCTTATTTATTTGATAAGTAATAATGTTATTTTAAAGCCTGTTTACATGGAGGTGGGGACGCCAGGTAGATGATGTAACATGCTTAGGTGGGGTAACCAACCTGTCCGTATCATGAAAATGTGATCAAATTAAAATGAGAGATTATATGGAGAGCAGGGGCATAGCCAGCTTTTGACTTGTTGTAGGCCTGGCTGACTTTCATTTCCACATATCCTGAAAATTGCACGCATGACTAGTAGGCACTAACCTCAGTTATTAAGCTTTTTAGCTCACCCCAACAACCCATGATTTATTACAAGCGGTAGGGTGAAATAGCTAAAAATTTGTAGGCGCTGGCCTATATGTCTATGGGCTGGCTAAGCCCCTGGATAGGCTACCTGGGGTCCCCCACCTTTATGTAAACAGGCCCTCAGTAGTATTATCAAGACTGAAAGTTGAAAACAGCCTGTGTATGTAGTTAATAAGGACAGCCGAGGCCCCATCTCCTTAGGAGGCTACAGCATTTTGGTCCAAATTCTTGACCACTTAGTGTGACCAGCTTCTAATTTTCTTTTCTTTTTTTTTTTAATTTTCAAATTCCGACATTTGAAGATTTTTTTTCCCAATATGGTATACACTGAACAAGTAGTGAAATACCAAGAAAGAGCTTGCATACATTTTAATCTATAAACAAGTGCCAACTAGTGTGAAAATCTAAATTTCTTTCCGCTAAGAGTGACCATTTAAAATTCTTTAAATTTCCTTTCATTGCTTATAGTTGAAATCAAACTTGAAAGTTAAGAGAATAAAGGAAATGACTAACAAGGATTACACTTTGTCGCACAGTTGCGAAATAGCTAACATCTTTAGCTGTATTTGAAAATGCCTTTTACCATGCTGAAAGGTTTGTCTTTTTTAAATCGTGGGGTAATTACAAACTGGAAAAACGTTTCCAACGTGGATTTGGAAATGTGGCATGCTGTTAAAAATGTCTTGTTCGTTCGGGCGGGCGGTGTAGGGTCACGTGATTACCAAATTTTCTGGGATGGGTAGATTTACTTACCCATGGTACTCCTCTGGCGCGCGTGAAAATTGTTTCTGTTTACCTACAATATTTGCCATTTGAAAAGTCTGGGTTGTTTTGAGTGAAAATTGACGATTTCACAAGAGCCAAAATACCACGTAACGTGACCTTTTTCAAGAATTATCTGTCAAATCCCCTGCTTACGGTTAAATCATTCCACTCAAATGCACAAAAATTTCCCCATCCCTGGGCTGCACATGGTTGCCTTTGACTTAAGTTACACCTATGTTCTTGTTTCTAGTAAAAGCAATAACCAACATCTTCTATTGAAATGCGACAGCATATCAAAACATTTTAGTCCTGTACAGCATTGTAGTCTTTTAAAAACTTAAGTGTTAACAATAGAATATCCACTAATGGCCCTGTCCCATGGATAGTATGGATAAAACATAAGAATTTGATGTTACGTTTTTTTGGGAACGGCACCAAATGAAATTTATTTTTAAAAGTGTTGATCACTGACCAGGGGCGCTTACTCTACATTATCTACAAACATGGTCACGAAAATCAATGTTGTTGTAACACCCATCAGTGATTATCTATCTTTGAAGTTTTATGACAAAAAGTATTTTGTCCCTTGGCCTTGCGAAGCAATATTTCCACAAAGTCTCATTTGAAAATATGCTTTCGACTTACATGTTTTCACCGGATGCTGCCCTTCCACAAGGTTTTGAGTATAACGAAAGATCAAGAAATCACACGTAAAGACATGAAACAGTTCTGGAATTCTGTGTTAGATTTGCTAGCATACTTCAAATGTCCAATTAAACGAAATTTCTGGAAAACAGTTACAAACACCGCCCTTACACTAGACATTGACCCTTCTTGATGATGACATGCTAGGCTGTGCTGTAAGCAACGTGCATTTGAATGGAGCCCAGTTCTCTGAACCTGTAAAATCTAGGGTACCCAGCATCTGATTGTTCTGAAAGAAGAAAAATTTCTACCCGCCCAAGAGCAAAAGTGAAAAGTTAGGCGCCAGGGGCCACCGGGCGGGTTCTGTTAGAGCACAGCCTTGACATGAGTTCTGGCATTGTACATTTTGTATTGCCGTAAATACTTTGTGAAACAATTCAAAGGTACTTTCGGGAATATAGAATGTCTGTTAAATTGCCTGCCACGCTAAATATCCAGCCAGAATATGCGTTCTTCACTTGGGGAAATGCACAAAGTTTGTGGGTACCTTTATTTTGTTACCAAGTAATTACTCTCTGGAGACGCTCAGTGCTACAATTAAGACTGTTGGGAATGCCTATTAGTTCACCCATGGGGTGGGAATTTGTACCTACCACATCGGGGAGCGACCGACCAGCGAGTCTCGAGGTCATAACTCAGGCCCTCAGGCAACCAGGTAAAAAAATAAAGAACTTTTAGGAAGATTAATGTTCCTCCTAAACAATAAGATGTTATTGAATTTCGGTAAACTTAAATGAATTTCTACTTTCTGTTAATGAAGGGAAAAAGGTTCAATTAATGGCGAAAAGAGCAAATGTAGACCCCAACTCTACCCCCTTCCCCCGCCCACTTTTCTACCGGTTCCCTGTGACTGTGACACTCAGTCGTTTGACAGAAAAAGACTGGGTCGAGGTCCACTGAGCGCCATCGGTTTCCGGCGGGTTATCGGCGGGGTTGAGTCCGTGATCTTGCTCGTTATGTCATCTAACGAAAGCAAACGAAGCCATCCAAGCGTCGAAGAAGGCTGCACTATAGCTCGAAAGAAGACGAAAAGAAAGGATTCTGTTCACAAGTTTCCGTGTTCTCTCTACGTTAAGTTTTGGTAAGCATTCTCCTCGCCATAGTATGCTTATAAGCTTAGCTAAAATGCGCAAAGGCTTATAATCCTTGCGTACTGTAGTCTAATCACGTTTGAGTTTAACAGCGTATTTAACCCTCATTTGAAGACAAGAGGTTAAGACTTCTAAGCCATTTAATATCCTGGCTTGTGGTTGTTCTCGCTGGAACTGACGTGCATGACGTGCCGTGAAAAAGATGGAGAATCGCAGCCTCGTTCCCAGTCGTCCTCGGCAATTTCGAATATGACCTCAGCTGTTAAGTTTGTTGGGAGAATTCCCCAGCCTTCTTCCCCTCACTCGGATAGCGCGAATATGCCTGGGGACGAGAATGGGAGAATCAATATCCTTGTCATGCTTCGTCCAAGTTGCCATTTCCACCCTGGTAGGCACAAAACTCAGGTCACAAGTGCAGGACACTACTCTATTGATAAGCAACTGAGATGAGCAGCTTCCCCTAAACAGGGCTGTCAACCCCCCACGTCATCAAATATTGAGAATTGATAGGGAAGAAATGATAGATGATGTCATATTGCACAACAAATGACGTCATGTGTACCAAAAATGCACGTTGATTCCAATCAATGTCAATAGCACATAAACAGTTCATATTTAGCCACATTATTGCTTAAATTACAATGGCATACCAGAATTTCTGGGGAAATGTTCTGTGTTTACAGTAGCTCAAACAAGCTCTACAAGAAATAGCAACTTTGGCAATTATCCAGGAGATATCAGCCTCTAATCTGGAGACTGGGTGATAAGGTCCAAAATCTTGAGTCTGCCACATTATCCGGGAGAGTTGACAGAGCTGCCTTAAGCTTAAATGCTATTCTGGATTAAGATTAAGGCTAGGAGAGACTTTTAGTGTTGTTTATTTTCTGTGGCATAAAGACCTTTTCTCTAGCCTGCACTTGCGTCACTTGCGACCTGTGACCGTTTATATGCAGTTTGTACCTGCCGAATTCAACCCAGAAAATGTGCACGTGACAATCCTGAAAAGTAGTTTGGGATATGATCAATACACTGAAGTTGTTGAAGATAATTTCTTTTTAATAGCACTGGCAAACGTACATCAATGGCCTCTCGTGCCATTCTTTCAAATTTCTTTGAAAAACAGTGAACACAAAACCACCCTCAATACTTTTTGGGATTGTCACTTGCACTTTTTCCTGCAACCTTTCTCGAAATAACCATATATGACTCAGTAACCTTTGATGATGTCTTCAACTGTCATACACTAATGACAGAGTGTGTGATTATTGGTATGGCAATGAACAAGACCAAAACATTTTAAAGAAATTAATATCAATGGATTGCCACCCACTAAAAGATATCATTCCTGTCCAGAAGACGTATGTACATAATCTTAGGACAAAAGGCTTCGTACGCCCAAAAATTAATACAGAGCGTTTTATGAACACCTTTGTAAATAGGTTGATTTTAAAGCTCCATTTATTGTAATGATACACTTTTTTAATATATACATATAATGTAGATATCTTTATCATAGTTTTTATCTTCTCCTATTGTAACATAAGATATGTAGTTTTATCTTTTGGTGAAATAAAGACTCATTATTATTATTATTATTATTATTATTATTATTATTATTATTATTATTGTTATTATTATTATTATTATTACAGACTGTTCTCTAACAACTGTATTCTCACATCATAGGCTTTTGAAAAATTATGAGTATGACCCTAGTGGTGGATACTGTACAAGCATTACAAGTGTGAGTTCACATCTAAAATCTGATCAAGAACTATTACAAAGGAATGGTAGCAATCCCTTGACAAAAGGCAGGTTCTGTTTAAGAGATAACATCCTCAAACTTTGGAAGGGTCAAGTAATTGAAACAAAATTTTCTTTCAATAAAGAAGAACAGAGGATTCGAGCATTCAGAAATCTGCGCAGAAAGGATTTTCACTCTGTCAATGGAACACAATTCAGTGACTGCTCAGCAAGTGAGCATTTTATCCAAGTTCCTGGCTGGCAAGTAGCCATCAATAATGACAAGTCATTGTCAATTCTGCAAATTGAAGACTGGCTTTTGGATGGGCAACGAGTTGTCACAGAGATACGTGCTGACCAAGGGCAGGAGAATACAGAGTATAAATGCATTCTCAGTGCACATGGACACAAACTAGACACAAGGTATACAGGTTTGAATCTAGGACAGATGTCTAGTCCTAAGGAAGAGCTTGAAATGTTGGCGAAGTGTTTATCTATTACACAGTTGTGTAAAGGTTTCAAGCCACCTAAGGCTGTTACTCCATTGTGTGAAGGATCAAGCCCCCTTGATGCTGGCTTTTTAGCACATGCTTCTATTAAGATAGCAGAGTACAGTGCTGCTTCTGATCCCACTGCAGTGGAAATAAGAATCTTTTCAGGCAGATGTCAGATTTTCTGCTCTTCAAAATTACTATGTTCAGAGTGCAAAATGTGCCAGAACAATTTTGTTAGGAAACTGCAGAGGGACAGGGGGCATGCTGGAAACATCGGTTCAAGAAGTAACCATCGTTACATGTCTAGAGAACAGCTTCTTTCTAAGCTGAGGAATTTACAGAAGGAATTCCGTAATTTCAAGAATAGAGTGAAGGAACGTGAAAACAAATATGAAGAAATTGATGGTGATGATGATGGTGAAGATGATATTGATGATGACAATAGTGATTGCAGTGATGATGATGTCGATGACAGTGATGATGATGGCAATGAGAGTGATGATGACGTCAATGAGTCTAGTGATGATGATACAAATGCTTGCAATGACACCTAAAGCAACAGAAAAGCCTTTCAATTTTTTTGCCAGAATCTCCTTGCCATAAACAATAAACAGTCTGTGATGCAAGATTAGAATATTGATGAACGCATGTTGATATTTCTGAAATGGTTATCTAGAGAATATTTTGAAACTCACTGATGTTGTAAAGTCAAATAGTTTGTTTCTAATATTATTATTTTAAAACAACTTAGTTTAAAATGACAGCATAAAAATGAGATCTGTATTGTTACCCCCAAAACTATAACAAGTGATACACTAAACTGAATTAATCAAATCCAAAAATAGTGCTATGCAGATCAATCTACACAGTTACACTCCCCAACAATTAAATTTTCATCTGACATGAAGTACATCTTAAAAAAGAGTGTTAGTGCTAATCTCCTTGCATGCAGTCTCTCAGGGCAGGAAGTAACGCTTGTTCATTAGTCCTTTTGTCCATTGATCATGGATTCTTCTTACAGTGCAAATTAACTTCTGTCACACCCCTTAGACTATCCGGCCTATCCTCTCTGGCAAATCACTTGGGAGCTTAAGCAACGACGCTGGTGACAGCAAAGAGAGCATCATAAAAGCAATAGGTTTAGATATTTTTTAAGCAAACCAACAACTTAATTCGCACATGAATCATGCTTTTACCTACATATCTTATATTGCTGTTCTTGCAACACCACGACATGAAACTGCCTGAATGCATGTCTTATGAAAGACGTGAACAGTAGAAAAGGATTTAATTTTTCGTGTGTGTGAACATAGAAAAGTCCTTTAGAATTCAACTCCAGAAAAATTTGCTAACATTTAACAAATATGGATTAAGTGCGAAGAAGTTTGAAGCAGCGTGAATTCACCTTTTGTGTAAAGTTTTTGCTGCATTCACTGTTGTATGGCAAAAGCTCCCTAATAGTTTCGAGAGGGGTGATTTGCCTTACTTTAAACTGAAGGGGCTGAGTACAAGTCAACACCATTTATCTCGTTACCACAGATGGCCCAAGCTCGAGATATGACTATTGGTACTGTTGTGTAACATTTAAAATACAATTGTTTCTGTTGCCTACGAATATGAAAGGATTTAAATAAAAATTGGCTTACCTCACTTAAGTTAGAGAGAGAAAGAGAGAGATGTTTTATTTAGACACGGTAGTTTTCTCAGCTAAAGCTGGTTTACTTAAAAGCCGTGTTAAAAAAAATGTATATATCTATCAGCAGTTTCTAGTTAATTTTGGAAAAGGATAATTCTAAGTGAGGATTATAGTAAGGAAGTTCAAGTTCAAGTAAGCTCATTGATTTGCATTCACGCAAATCCTTAGGTAATTTATTCCAAATAAATGCACCCCTATAGCCAAAACGTTTTGCCATAATTGGTGTTGTCTTTCTTATTTCCTGTATGGTTTTCAAGCCGATTTATGGCCATTTAATTGAACCGGTTTGCTGTCTCTATAATCCTCTCTTACACATTAAATGACCATACATTGGCTCAGAAAACCACACAGGACAGAGGAAACACACAACTTAAGCAAGGTTAGCTGATTTTTATTTAAATACAATTATTTAAATACAATTAAATACATTGACAAATAAATAGTCTAAAGATCTCATTTTTTCAGTGGCTGTTACAATAAATTCCCATTAAAGGAACACATTACAGTTTGCATAAAATAGGTATGAACTCTGTTGAACAATGAACTTATAAAATTTTATTGCTTCATTGATAATTTTTATGAGAATTATAATAATAATTACAGTAGATGAGAAATTATAAAATTGTCATTAATATTCTATTTCTCATCATTGAGTTTGTTGTAAGCTGAGTTGCAGTTAACCTGAGTTTAAAGGGATCTATAACTTCAAGCATTATTTTGCTTTTCTATAGACTCCCTCAAAGACCCTCATCACAATTAAAATATGATAACGAGTCTATAGTATAGTAACGTAAATTATGTACGTATCAATGATAGGAACAATAAAACGAAAAATGAAATGAAAAGGAGTGAGTCTGCTTTATTATTTTATTATAGAGGAGCATGGTGGCCGGGTATTCTGAAATTGTTCCCAAGCGTGTTCCTTAACAAAGGTTCATTGTCTGTATGTTTAAGCCACTGCCTCCCTGGGTCAGGCTTCAAAATCCACTGTAAAAGACAGAACATCTGAGGACCTCAACAGTGCCTCGCGAAGCACTCCCATGGGAGTTTGTAGCTCGGAAACTTGCAAGTTCTCCATATCAATATCAGTGCCACGAAATATCCCCTGAACTAAAGTTCTTTCGTGCATCGAGAAACACGCTGGTTTGTTGCAACTTGCGAAAAGTAAACGAAGAAATTTTTCTCTCAGAGAAGCCCTTGCATTTTGTTGATCTTCAAGATCACGGTCAGTTTGTAAGACCTGGGACTGCTGGGAGTTACCATCCGTAGATTCGGTTTCTACAGCGCTGTATTCCTCTCTATTGTCTTCCATGGTCCTGACGATTAAATAACAGTTGTGTCAAAATTTAGTTACAGTAGAACATTCAAAGTTTTTCAACTATCATCTCAAATTCCCCTTATCTCTCAGCCGGCCATTTTGCATGCGGCGAAAAGACTGGTAACCAGTTTTGCCTGCATAGAATTGTGGGTAGACTATCACCGCTGGTCAAAGGTACTTCTTCCGTCGAAAATCCAAGATGGCGGAAAAAATTAGTAGTTCTGATAGTGGCGCGGGAAAGTTGACACAATTACCTGTAGCACGAATTAAAACGATCATGAAAAGTTCCCCTGATCTGCCACATTTTAGCCAAGAATCCGTATTTCTCGTCACTAAAGCTACGGTAAGTTTTCTTTAGATCAGATCACTCAAACTTAATTTACACTCCTGGATGACGAGTAATTAAAGCTGAGACTTGGCAGAGCAAGGATCCATAATTCATCTTTTATCAGAGTCGTCAGCTGGGCAAGTAAACCTGATGGCATACTTGCCCGATTACAATTTGGGTTGCCTGGACAAAACTGTGGAATGGAAAGAATGGTGATAAAATTATTTGCAACTTGAACATTTCTTATTTGCATTTTGCACTGTAATTAGGCTGGCATAGCTGGTGGTTTTTTGGTTTGTGTTTCTGCCCAGAGTGTGTTCAAAAGACACCCATGCATAAGGTCAGGTTCAGCTTTCGTGCAGCTGTCTCTAGTACTTGACTCACAAATGAAAAACACATCAAGAAAACTGCCGGCTACACAGGCTACATACACTGTCAACAGGTCTGAGGCAAAACAAATATTTAACAATTATTCCTCGAGCCTGAATGGGCTCTGAGTCAATAGCCCATGAGGCCGAAGGCCGAATGGGCTATTGACTCAGAGGCCATAAGGGCGAGAGGAATAATTGTTTTAGTAAACTCCAGCTAGTTGGTCAAGAATAAAAAACTTTTAGCTAGTTAAAGCTAGACTTTAATCCTTTTTTGCCGCCAAAAATTCCACGCTTTTTGCTGCTAGTGGGCTATAACATATAGCCTAGTAGCGGCTCAACCAATCAGAACGCAGCATTGATAATAGACCACTAGTCGGATTTTACTTAATAGATTTAGCCAGTACTAAAAGCAATGCTCTCATACTTATAAGCAAAAAATAAAATCATGTAATGTTAAACGGCGATGGCAATGAGAACTGCAACAAAAACAATAGATCTAATTAGATTCTAATTAGAGAAAAACAAATTTGCATGTGCAGCACACTTTTTTGTACGTTTCTTTGCTGTTGTTTTAAAATCTTACTCCATTCATCTATAGATAACACATATAACTTGCTAAAGCGAGGTTTTATTTTGAATTAACATTTGATTTGTTTTGCTTGCAGGAATTATTTATAAATTATCTAGCCGCCTCTGCCTATAAAAAAGAAAGTGATACTAAGAATCTGTCATATAAAGGCCTTTGTAAGTATGTTATTAAATAAATGTTTTTAAATCATTCTGAAACATTGCACCACTTAAATTATAAGTAATTTTTTATTCTTTTCTGGACTCCAGCCAATAAGCATGCAAGAATTGCTTAGTATAGATTTTAAGTAGTTATGGTTGGTGTTAAACACATCTTGTTAGGAAGGAGGCTTTTTTATTGGCTCTTAAGAAAGAGTTATTTTGTTTCAGGGGTTGGGAGTTATTTTTAATAACAATATTTAAGCAAATGTGTGCTATCACTGTAAAAGTAATATTTTCACATCAAATCTTTTGTATCAGTTTCAACCACTTACAGTCTCCAGAACTTTGCAGAACTCCAAACACTAATGACACTAAGCTGGATTTATCATCTTTTATTACAGCAAAGGTTGTTGAAGATGATGAAGCTCTTCAGTTCTTGGGAGGTAAACACTCTTTGCATGTTGTCCAAAAATGGATTCTAAAACTCTAGGTGACAGTCAAACAGGAAGCCTTGCCGTGTTATTTAGGTGCTGATCAAGGAGAAAGATAGCCTGAGAAAACGGCCAACATCTCGCGAGGCCATCAAAGTGGTTTTCTCACAATTTACATCTGAGGAACAAACACAGAAATTCGTCTTTGATGCCGTAACACTACCCAGATCTAGGTTGTTCTCCTGATTGGCTGAAAATTTGCTTCAACCAATAAGAAGTACTACCCAGATCTTGGTAGTGATGCTTTATCAGTGTGGAATTTCTATGCTCGTTTCTCAACATCACTTTGCTGGGTAACCAGTGGTGGCATTGCAAAATATTAACTTTTTTCTCAGGCTAGGAAAAAGAGGGTCCAGGGTCATGCATCTGCAGAAAATCTTGAAATTTTTATCTGCTAAAAGTCCTTTACATTGTCAATATTCTGTAACATAAACTGGTGTGGATTTTCACCTGCTATTAAAATGCAGTATAGATGGGGCTTAATTTTATAAATGGGGGACAAGAGGTCTAGTGGTAGGGGATAAAAACATTTTGGCCAACAAATTATACCTTTGAGAGAGGTCCAAATTTTTGTTTTTGAAAGCTGTCACAGTTTAACATTGGTCTTTGTACGCATCATTTTACTGGTACCACGCCCTTGATCCTTTCCCTCCCACTGACATAGTAACTTACTTATTGCTTTTCCTTCACTAGACATTGTACCACCTAAGGTGTTAGTGAAAGATTTCATGGAATCGATGAAGAAGAAATCAAAGAAAGCATCTATTCAAGTGGACAGTTCAAGCTCTGACTCGGAGTCATAACTGGACATTATTGGCATAATTTGACCAAAAAACATTGTAAATACTACCATGTTATACCGGTATTCATACATGACCGAGTTAACCATTTCCATCCAATAGTTAATCAATGAAGTGACGTGATTTCACATCCTGACTTTTTCATCATTGAGCAAAATTGAATGGTTTGACCATATTGTTTGACCATTCAAATGAAACCTCTTTTGCATTGCTTTTGTTTGCCCCGTGCTACAGATGGAACTAAACGCCTCGTTATTCATTTAGCTCATCTGCAAAACAGTGCTAAAATCCTTGTTCTGGGCCCCCACCTGTGTAGCAGGATCTGAGTATGCATCGTGATTGGCCTGTTAAAAAAAGCCATTGTTGATTTGCCAATCAGATTGAAGGGAAATTTGAAACGCATTTCTGGTAATTCATTTAGTCCGTTGGGGATCCAGGACAAGGATATCAGCACTTCTTCCTACACATTTACGTCTACAACAAAGGCTATGCTTTTGTATGGTTCTATTTATTACACTGCACAAGGTGCTTCTGACTTTTTAAAAAAGTATGACCACTCAAATAAAACCTCTTTAGCAGCACTTTTACTTGTAACTATTTGGTAGTATTTTTCCAAATGAATTCAGGGTGTAGGATGTTTTTCTTAGATTTTGTTTTTTTGAGAGTTAAACTTCATGCATTAATTCAGAACAAGGTGTGTAACACAACCCTGGCTTTCATTCTCCTACAAAGGTGCATCTTAACCCTTTAAACCCTAAGATCAAAATTTGAATTCTCATTTGTTGCCCCTACTCATTTCCTACAGAAGTAGTGGGTAGAAGTTGATAAATATTTAGCAAATTCATCGTGTGATCATGTGCATAATTCTCATGACCACTCTGTTTTACAAAGCATTGATAATACGAGGAGAAATTTGATGCTGATCACTCTTAGGGCTTAAAGGGTTAAAGGGGTTATGTCATGAGGATATTGTTTTTGTAGTTCACTTCTGTGCTTCTGTATCTTTACACTGTACCTCATCACCCATACACAAAATGCTCCTGAAGAGTTCTTAAGGAGATATCAGACAAATTTTATCAGGAAGCACTAACCATAAAAATTATCATTTATTTGGTGAATTTTGCATGCATAGCATTAAGACTTGGAAAAATTGGCCCAACTACATGTATTTCAAGGTTCAATCCATGTCCACCTTTGCCATCCATTGCTGCAGCAATAGGGTCGTCACTTGTTTCCATCCGCTAAACTGACATTTTCCTCTCAGTGGCTCTCACAAGACATTTCACTTTTCTTACATGAAATTTCTCTGTCTCTTGAAATTTCTGTTCATAAAAGTCTAAGTCTCTTCAATTTTTAGGGAAAAAAATTCAGGATGGCACTAGTAGGATTTGATCTCGGAGCATCGGTACTGTAGTGCATCACTTAAACCCCTACACCACCGAGGATTTACTGACAATAGATAGTTTGATTTGAATATATATAGCAACAACCCTAACCCTAACCCTTACTTTGTGTACGAATCATTAATCTGTCAATGTCAGTTTGGTGGATGGAAATAAGTGTTGACCTTGCAATAGAGCGTATTCACATGACGTCACGGCGGCCATTATTGGTATTCCAAAACAATAAAACGGCAGCCATGTTGGTGTTTCAAACCAGTCCTGTGGGAGATGATCTCTTTTCTTATGTAAACGCTTTCTTTTGTTCCAATAAATTTGCGTAGATGCTGGACACGTGAGTGAAAACGCTTTATAGAGGACAGGAATCAGTTTCAGTGCTTAAATATAGTCTTTAACCATTATTTTTGGAAGTATTAGTCAGTTGGTGTAAAGAGAAATCTTAGCTTTTTAAGAAGATAGCATTCATAGCAAATAGCGCGGTATAGCCCCTTGAAATTCGTTCTTATCATGTAATGAGCCAGCCACTGCTGGAGGCAACCGCATACATCTGGTCAATGAATCCACAGTGGTTCTTATTCATCGGCGCACTCGATCGCCTAAGAAAATAGATGGACTGTGAACAGACTACAAAGAAATCCTCTTTCATGTGCAAAGAGTGAGAGACCCGTCACACTCGCAAAAGTAAAAAGGAAAACGAATAGGACTTCGAGAAGCGCAAAAAGCGGGTTGTAAAGAAATCGAGCAGTAGAAGTCAAAGCTGGCTACGCTTTGTCTTCGGATTTTGCTTTTTGGGTACGTAACCGACGTAAGAAGGATGTTAGTACAGTCAATTCTCAGTTAACGGACACCTGGCCCCAGTTGTTCAAAAGGTGGATAGCGCTATCCATCGGATAAATCTCTATCCAGTGGATAACGCAATTGGTTTCCCTAATACTTATCCACTCGATAGTGATTTATCCGGTGGATAGCGTTCGCTATCCAACTTTTGAACAACTGGGGCCTGGTGTTGGTCCCTGCCGTTTTCCAGTCATTTTACTGTAACTGTACTCTTCTATAAGAGAGATACCTTCTAAGACCGTAACCGTCAACGGACAAATGGGAAGTTCTTTATGCAGTGCAAAATACCTCAAAACGGAAATGCAGGTGCTCTACATGACAGTAAATCAGTCGCAAAATGTTTGATATAGTGTACTCTTGCTCCATTTCTTAGAGTGTATACTGTTACACTTTTAGATTACGAGTAGGTGAACGTTAAATAAACTTTTGATTGCACAATGAGAAAATATTTCAACTCTTCTGGTGTCACGTTACCTTGACTCTATAAGCCGGACACCTCTCTAAGACGGACAGTCAGCAGGGTTCTATCTAGGGTATCTGAGGGGTAGAAGCATCCCCCCCAAAATGCCCGACTTCCCCCATAAAAATATTGTTATCATTACAGTATATAAGTAGCTATATCGGTAGAATTATCCAGACGCGACGAGGTCGGTGCACACACTGTAACATTTCTCAAAATTGTGTCTCAAAATGCACCAGATTGCATCTCAGGACATACTCATTTCCAAACATTTTCGGGGGAGCATACTCGTGACCCCCCCCCCCCCACCCCCCCCCCCCCCCCCCCCCCCCCAGGAAACTCGTCGCCTTCGGCCACTCGGGACGTCTCCAAACCATAAATCCTAGATAGAACCCTGGTCAGGACCCGTCCCAAAAGTGTCCGTCTGAGAGAGACTTGACTGAAAGACGAGTAACAGGTACCGAGCACTGGAAACGGGAAAATGAAGAATGGGAGCAAAACAGACAGTGAGAAATGAAGCTACTGCTGTCATGGCCACGGGTTTTGTTTCCACTCAGTTTCATTTTCCTGTTTCAGGTGCTCGGTAGCCGTTTCCCATTTCCCGTTTCCCGTTCTCATCTTTAAAAGTTACATTCTGTAAAAGCAGGAGCCCATCAAATTTGATGGGCTCCTGGTAAAAAGCTATAAATTTGGGATCAATTTAGGTTTCTGTGAAACTGCCCACCCACCCCTCCCCTAAGCTAACATTACACTTACGTCTTACTTGAGCAAAATGATGGCTGAGGAGAGGGGTAGGTGAGCAGCCTTTTCCCAGAAACTCAACACACTCACTCATTTTCAATTTGATCTGCTTCCTTCAAGCCTGAGCCAAAGTGGCGTTGTTAAATTCTCTCTCCTTTTTTCCCCAATTGCCCGAAATACAGTTTGTTTGCCCCCCAACAGACTCCTTCCAATTTCTCCTAGATTTTGTGGGCGTTCCCGAAGTAAAAATTGAAAGCACTGATTACTAAACCAGTTTTTATGGGGAGGAGAGGAGGTTGGCGTGGAAGGTTCAAAGTTAAGTGTACGATCGACAATAAAAAAAATGAGTACATTCTTGTACTTCTAGGGGTCAATTTCGTGGTGTTTTTCACCCATCAGGAGCACGTGAAATAAAGGTTACGCTTACCAGGTATTTTTGTATGCTGTTTTTGGGAACAAAAATCAAACTGACCCCGACGTGATTCGAACACGCAGCCTTCTGATCTGGAGTCAGACGCGCTACCATTGCGCCACGGAGTCAACTTATGCATACCTGGATAAAAAAGTGAGTGTGGTACTCATGAATAAATACATTGATGATGCCTGGCGACTTCGATGAATATATGCGATCCCCACCTACTCTTACAAATTTGGGGGTTTAACTTCCTCTCCTCCACAGCCGAGGCCAGTGTCATAGGGAGTGAGGCAGGAAGAAAGCGCATGCTCATGGGGGGGGGTGCTTATTGGACCCCAGCGGGAGACTCTGTAGAGGAGAGAGCGTCAAACGAGTTGTCAGCGACAGTGACAGGGTTTATAAACAAAACAAATGTGTGTTTGATCATGTTCGATGGCAATTCAATGGGGAGCTTAAAATCCGACGACGGCGACGGCAACGAGAACGGCAAAAAAAAGCAATAGATTTAGCGCCTCTTCACATGACCCCGGTTGACCGGGATGACCCGGATGACTTCGGTTGACCGGGCTGACCCGGTTTCCGAGATCTCGCCTTACCTCAAAATCTTCGTAGAATTTTCGATGTGTTCATATGAAAGGGCGATCTGGCTCGGTTGCCGAGATCTCGGTTAGTGGGCTGGAAATTTTGCCATATGAACACTTCAGCCCGGTTACCGGGATGAAAAAGCGCGAGGAGTTGTGGCGGTCTGGATAGCATCGTCTTGCATTGCCTGCTGTATTTTCATAAGCATCATAAGCATTGCATTTGACTGCAGTAATACAGTACAGCTTTAAGAGTTGCCGAAGCTATAATAGCCAAAGTTAAAATTTTTGTCTTTCGCCATGTTTGCTTTGTTCCTCGAATTTTGGCCCCAGAAGTCCTTCCCAGGATCTTTGGCCTTTTCTCATCTCGGAAACCGGGATTAAATTTCTCATATGAACCCAAGGCAAAACGGCGTCCCGGTAACCGGGCCAACCCGGTTAACCAGGCTCATGTGAAGAAGCCCTTAGATTAGCAAAACAACAACTTTGCAAGTGCATCACACTTTTTTCTACATTTCTTTACCGACTACGACGTGAATGTGCCTGATTCCACGTTTTGTCGAGGACGGGAACAGAAAACAACAACTTTATTTTTCTTTTCCTGAACTTTGATACAGTCCTTTAGAACTGGATTCAACTCCAAAAAAATTTGCCAACATTTGACGCATTAAACGCGGAAAAATACGCGTCATAAAGTTTAAAGCAGCCCGTAACCGTACGTCTCTAGAACCGCACCAATCGAACAAGTAAGCCTCGCTGAGGGATTCGTAATTTGATAGGCTGTAGGCGTACAGGAAGTACTTTTCGCCATCCACTTCGTTTTCTCTCAAAGCAGAACAACAATTCAAACAGGTGTTGCGATCCTTTCACTTTTTAGTTCTATGTAAGATTGGGATGCAATACGCTTCAGAGAAGTGAAAATAAATTCTTCGTCAGAAGCCCAAGTAACAAGGAAGTACTAAAGCGTCCTAAACTATTTTTAGAAATTACGTTGACCAAATTATCATTTACCCTGCAATCTCTTCTTCTTCTTGTAAGAAATTATTAGACGTATTTCACGAGATTGTGTGTCTAGCTACAGACATTCAAACAAACAAAGTTTCTAATAATCACTGAACTGCTGGATATTGAGAGTTTTCTTGTTTTATTTCGTCTGCTTTGCGTGACTTGTTTTTCACGGTCCTTAACGAAATTAAAAGCCAGTATTTTCGTATTATCTTTTGAGTCTTGAAAAAGCAAATATAAAACACATCAATAGTCTCTAAATAGAATTCGCTGAAGTAAAACGTACTTTTGTCTCCACACAAAAGGCACAAGGTGCTTATCCCGCAAACAGATACACTGTGATTTAGGACTTAAACGCCTGACCTCTGACATTTAGGGATGTTTGGAAATTTAATATTCCATTTAATTAATTATGGTAGCCCAAACATGAAAATTATAATTTACAATAAATATTGTTTTCGGCGACATTAAAAGAACTAAATTTATAACTTGATGAAAACAACAATTATTGCACTACATAAATACTCTCCTGGTGTGCGATCGCCAATTGTGAGCTGATTGTTTTAAGCTCTTTTAAAACTATAAAAAAATCTTGTTTTTCGCTTAGTCTCAGCTTGAGGTCACGTCATACTCGAGATCCCCTGAGTTCATTAGTGGTCTGCGTGAGTTCGGCATTTCGTTTTTTGACCACCGCTATTTGTTTTTCTTTTTCCACAATATCTTTTTCCAAAGCGTCTGCTTTCTTTTCAGCCTTCTTTCGCCGGACAACAGCCTTGGAGATCTTTTCTTTCATTTCCTCCAATATTTTCAAATACTGTTTCTCATTTATTGGCGTATAATTCTGTGAAAATCCCTGGCCTGCTCTCTCCACTGCCCTAAGTTTTTCTTGAATCCTACTCATTCGATCTCTAGCTGTCAACTCCCGCTTTTCTTGTGCCAGAATCTCCCTCTCTTTGTTTTCAATGGTCTTTTGCATTTTAGCAATAGCCTGGACAGTCGACTTAGTTTTCTCTCGATACTGTTCAACGGAACACTCCATCGAACCCACATCAACTTTATTCTTCTCTAAAAATACCTTCATGTACGCGTTCTCGTCGTATCTCTGATTGGCAAAATACAATCGTTCCTTACAGTAACTGACTTGCGTTTCGATTTTCTCCATATCTTGTTCTGCCTTTGATATCTCATCCAGTATTTTTCTCTTCTTACTCAAAGCACGCTCTTCTCTTAAATTCGCTTCAGCGAGAGCTTCTTTTGCTCGCTTTTCTCGATCAACCTGGGCTCTTGTGTTCGCTGCGACGGCATCCATCTTCTCACGTACAGATTTCAATCCAGTGTTTAGAACTTTCTTCGGCTCTCCTCGCACCATACAGGCCATTGTCGTTTTCGTTTAGCGTGGACAACAGATTTTCAGAAACAGGATTTTGCGAAAGTCGTTGTTGCGATGTCACGCTTAAGTGTATATTGAATCATCATCCACTTTACTGAGTTAAAAAAGTTCTTCACACATGGATGCTACTAGCCAATCAAGAAGCTAGCCATTGTTTTTACTGTCAAATGACAGATGAAACGAGAAAGGTGAAGTTCTAATCTGTGCAAGAGATTTAGCTTGTTTTACCGGAAATCGATAACAAACTTTCGCTACTTGATTGAAACATTCACGACTAATGGATTTTCTTTAAAAGTATCGCTTAACCACTTTTAATTGAAGCTTAAAAGAAAAGCAGATTTGTAGTCCGCTACATAGCAGGTCTTTGAGTTGCCCCTGTCAAAGCTTTTAGCTGATAGCACAACAAACTGATATCTAACAGGGTTAATTGTAACTTCCTTTCTTTAAAAAGATAATGAGAAATGGGAAAACAGTAGGAAATCGGTTGTTTTTTTTCTTGTAGTAACGTTGCACGATATTCCAGTTTTTAGGTATTTTAACGATCGAAAGACGCTGATCATAAACTAAACGCAAGTGCACGCGGAACTTGCTTTATTTCACATTTTATTCGTGCATTTTTACTTTACTGCATTAGATCCGCAAGGTGGTAGATACAAGTCGAGTTTCACTGTGTTCGATCAGCTGGCTTCCGCGTTAACTGAATACAATGCCGCCGACATTTATTATGTGAAAAATCACATGCGGCATGTTGACCTTGCTAGAATGAAGTTGTGGAAACTGACAGATATTGTTACAGACTAAAGTGTCACTCCTTAAGACAAATCGACCATTTCTCGGCCGTAAAATTCAGAATTTCAAGAATAACGTAAGAGTAGTTAAGCGATGACGCTTACCTGAGCACAGTTTCAATGACTAGAAGTTTTAATTAAGAGACATTAATTGGTTTTTAGACCAAAGCCTTTATCAATACAACACTTGACCGCCATGATAACAAAATATCTAATGATTTCAGTTATTTTACAAAGATGCCGCTGAAGGAACTAATACATTTTTTTACGCTGCCTTCGGGCGACTTTGAACCAAAGTTTGTATTCCTAGTAATAGTGCTAGAAGCGAGGGAGGTGGGGTGAAGTTATTGGGCTGAGAAAGACCGCACTATCTTCGCGAATATTTATAGGCTATATCATGGGGACCGTAAGTTCTGCTGTAGAAACAAGAATAGGATACTGAAGTGCAAAAAGTTTTGGTCTAGAAAGTGATATAATCCTATCATGCAGTCTCTTCGGGCAATCAGGGAAGGAGAAACTATTCCCGGAACTATTGCAAGCCGAAGAAAAAGTGAATTTGACGCCAGACACTGATTCCATTTGAATGGCCACACCATAAGATTACGTCCACAGACTCAAAAGTTAGAACCAGCTTGAACAGCATACTAAACAGTACCAAAGGAAAGTACTGCTCAGCAGCTTTTATTTGAATTAGAATGGTTACCCCATAGGATTTCGTCCTCAGCAGTCAAAAGCTAGAACCACTAGAAAAAGGTCAAGAAAAATTAATAAGCAGGTTAAGGGTCGTTACTTTTGAAAAGTTCGTGATAGCAAGGGGGTTGGCGAAGACGATTTTGTTTATAAATATTTGTCATTTTTTTGTCAATATTTGTCTTCTTCAATTGATTAAGCCGGGAAGTACCTTAGGGAAAATAAAGATGTCAAAGTGATAAAATGTCATGGCATTGTCGCATTGCTGTAGTTGACAAGCACGCAACATGCCTCTGCGACATTAATTCGCCGATCTTTCAATTCATCCATTCGTCCATATGTTCGTTTGTTCATCTACTCCTTCTTTCATGCTGGCACTGACTCATCAAGCCAGCCAGCCAGATGTCCGTCATCTCATTTCTTTCTTTCTTTCATTCATTCATTCATTCATTCATTCATTCATTCATTCGTTCGTTCGTTCGTTCGTTCGTTCGTTCGTTCATTCATTCATTCATTCGCATTCTTTAATTTTTTCATTTACTTTTCATTCTTTCGTTCGTTCGTTCGTTCATTCGTTCTATTCAGTCTGATCATTGACATTTTCAGTCTGCCAGATATACATACATACTAAAAATACATGCTAAAAATCTATTTTTGCTCAAAAATACTGAGGCAAAATGGACGGAGAAGTTGGGATAAGTCAGTCATCCCATAAGTACGCTCCATTACTGTTAGGCTACTGTTGTCTATAACGCTATGTTCTTTTGCGCATGATCAAAGGAGAGAAGCGAACAAAACGAAGCCGAGAAAGTGTCATAAAGTATCACTAATTGCAACCCATCCCACAGGCAATTTTCACATATTTGTATTCGTGTCATATTGGTGACGAGCAGAGTCATGATATCACCTCAGGCAGGAACCAGCTGCTTATCGGCTCCTCCTGGCATTCGAATTTTTGTTTGTCACGATTTTTGAGAAAAATTCCGGTGAATCCTTCTTGTGGTTTAGAACCGAGTTTTTCGCTTTTCTTCAGCGTCTTATATTTAGTATTATGCCATAATTTCTTCACCAGACATCTTTAAAGCTGGACGCCATATCTTAGGACCGAAGATACAGTAACCTTTCCATAACGAAGAAAGTGGCCGTTGTAGAGAGGTGGCCGTTATGGGGATATATCGGGAAGTACAACATGTTGATCGTGCTAAGATCATGCTTAATGTTACCCGTTATTAACTGAATCTTAGCCTGAGGTGTGCCTTCCAAGTATATTCTATACCTAAAAAAGCTTTTTATAACTGAGAAGTACTGCACTGCGCACGCGCCATACAAACCAATTTTCTGACCATTTGTTCAGGATTATTTTTATTTTCCATTTAAGTAAAAAAAAGTGAAGGCGCACACGAGCCGAGGGCCCAAGCGGCAGGAGCTTATCCCGTTTTCAATTCATTAGCATGAAGCAGCTAGGAGTATTGCTACTTCCCCCTGGATGGGATTCTAGTCCATCACAGGGTTACCCCCAAGCAGTATGTCGCCGGTACCCATTTATACACCTGGGTCATGAAGAGAGGCTCTTGGTGGAGTAAAGTTCCTTTTCTAAGAAAACAACGCGACGGGCGAGGCTTGAACCCCGGACTTCCAGATCCTGAGTTCGAGGTGTAAAGAGTGCAAAATTGCACAAGAAGTTAAGTTCGCTCGTATTGATCACGATTAGAGAGATTTAGGCCGGGGACACGTTTACGGCTAACGGCAAATTTGTACCACGTGCATGACCCCGTTTTCCCTTCATGTAGTTTACTATAATTACTTCTAAAAGATTTTAGCAGTTTCAGCGCTAGTTCTTTCCATGAGAATTTGCTCTCATAGTTTTCATCAGCTCATTTTCCATTTCGGGAAATTCTCAGCTTGGAATTGACGCTCACCGTTTGCAGTAAGCGTGACTCTTAATCTGTTTATTGACTGTTTTACATTTAAGTCCCCAGATGTTGAGGGTGGGAGGATGTTAAAAAAATGAAGTTTGTGGTGATTTGTCGCTTTAGTTGAATGAATTTTTACGGATTTTAAAGCGGAAACCTGACGGAAAACGCCAGTCTGGACTTTTTCGTCAGTCGCTGAAAAAACTGGCCTTTGTCGAAAGGTAATCTTGGCAGTTGGGGAGGCACTTCAATCGTTGCCGATGTAGAGAGGATTTTAACAAGAGTCAACGTAAGAATTATCCGCCGGGATAAAAGAAAAGGTGGTCGTTGAAGGGTTGTGGCGGTTGTGGAGAGCTGGTCGTTGGTGGAAGTGAGGCCGTATAGGAATTAAGTCACTTGTGAGATTATAAATTAGAGATATTTAGAACCCCGCCAGCAAACGACGGAAAAAATGCAAGTGATCAATTTCTCAAATTAGAAAATGAGAGCAAATCAAAACTTAAATTTTCAAAGTATTTTTTATAGCTGCATGAGACCACGTATTTTTGAGTAGATATATAAACAGTAGGGAGCTTAAGCAACAGCGTTTTTGAGCGACGGACGTCAACCGGAAGTGGACTTTTTGCAGCATTGGGCTGTGGTTTGGTTGAAACCCTTAGGTAAATCGTCTTTATAAGAGAAAAGAAACTCAGCAATACAAATTTGGTAGTGTCCAGGCATATAAAAAGGGAGAAGGCATCACTTCCGGTTGACGTGCGTCGCTCAAAAACGTTTTTGTTTAAGCTCCTGCGTCAGGACAACAAGTAAAAGAAAAGCTTGGTCACTTGGTACAATTCGCAGCCGAAAACGTGTTTTCTAAATCTCTCCATTAAAGCTGAAATTTCGCGCCAAAATTAAGGAGTTATTTGCCTCAACTGATATTAAATTAATGATATTGCAATCAAATCTGATGATTATCACTTTTATTACTTTCTGCTTACGAAGTTCGACGTTATGATAAGCCAAAAAGGCATATTTTGCTTTTCAAAGTGAGGTTATATATCGATACTTTCTGAACTACAAGAAACCTGACTTCAAATTATAAAGACTTGCTCTTGGATCACTATGAGGTGTCAGTAGCTTTTTAAGTAATTTATCTCTCTCGTCTTCCTTCGAGTCTTGTCGTACGTGCTATTGCTACATCACGACTTTTTCAAATTAGATATGCACAAGTTATTTCTGGCTTGGTTAATTGTTTTATAATTCCCTTCACATTATTACTAAAGTTTGACAAAGAAAAATGAATAAAGCTGTCCGAAGCATAAAGAACAGCCGACAATAAAACAGCACAAACAGTGAAAATACGAACACTGAACGCCAAACAAACTTTTTTTACTCATGAGTAAGAAACGTCGAGTTCTGTGTCAGTGAATAAAACAATCTCGCTTAATTCGCAAGTATTGGCTTTGCAATAAGATAAACACACAAAAGACGCGGTGAGATGTGTTTTCATCTGTTAATTTCTGTTATCACAAAAGCGATTTTCTAATTCCGTTAGTTCTTTTGTGCAACAAATTTTAATTGAAGTATTTATGCCATCTTCTAATAAAAAGCCCCTCTTGGGACTGCTTGGCGCATTTTACTTAAAGACCGTAATAACTCTAGACTTAATTGCGCGTGTATAACTTGAGTGTTGTCTATGATCTTGTAAATCCAAGGACCACAGCGAAGGTTTTGAATTGTTTGTCTCTCAGATGGCAACATTTCTCAATACCCAGAAAAGCAGTTCGTCTGCACCGCGTGGAGCGGACATGGCAAGACCTAGAAACAAGTTTCTTCCTTCGATATTCGAAGAGAAAAACGACGATAAAATTCAGGATTTTCGCAAAACTCTGAAGATAACTGAAGATGAAGATGTAGATGTGGATTTGGAAGTTCGTTCAGGTATGCACGAAGGAGAAGGCGCTGATGAAAAGAGTCTACGAGAAGAACTTCCAACGCGAGGCGGCAGAGCGAGCACCGCGGGCAAGTTTAAATCGCTTGTGAGAAGTTTGTCCGAAACACGCTTTGAGAATGGTTCTTGGCGTTCAAAGCGCCAAGGTTCAGCATTTGTCGGTAGGAAACGCATAAACTCTGGTATTCCTTCGGGTAATCGATCATTTGGATATGGACAAAGGAAAATAACATCTCCTGGTGTAAACAGGGGTCGCGCAGTTGATATGCCTGAAGTCATCGATTTAACAAATCCCGAAGAAGCCAAAAACATCGCGAGACGTTTCTTTGAAGATGAACTTAAAATGGATTTAGCTGACCCACGCTTTAATAAACCTGAAGATTTCATCGCCAGTTTGCGCTGGAAAGCGGAGAGAAAGTTCAGTTATAGTGAGTTATGGCATAGACGACGAAGCTCTATACATGCATCATCTTTGATAAAAAATCCGGAGATTTTCCAACTGAATGCGAACACCGTGAACAACAAACTTGCAAAGCTGAATAATCAAGAAGAATTTTTCGAAAAATTACCACAATTTTCTCAGCTTGAATCCAAATATTTTCAAGTGGCCTACTCCAAGCCAAAAACAGGAGGAAATGGTAACTCTCATGGAAGAAAGAAGCTAACGTCGTCTTTTAGAGAACAGACTGAGGCGGCCGGACCCAAGAGAAGGCAAGGAAGAATTCTGAACCCAATACCAAGAGATGCGAAAAAATCTAAGAATGCCTTAAGGCTACGAGGACAAAGCCAAGTGAATGGCTTGAAACAAACCTAACTTCGATACTTAAGAACAATCAAGAACCATTTACTCTTATTTTCGAGCAACTAAAATGTTTGAATGGGGTGCCTTTAAACTTCCCATAGAGTATTTTAAACCTGGACTGTTTTGAGTTCTACACACAGTGGGCTTCGCGGCAGTAGAATAAAATTGCGAGGACTGAAACTATTGAAATGCGCACCAAACAGGTCTTTCAAAGCTTCGATATCAGTTGATCGTTTGTTAGGTGGTTAGAACTGGGAAGACCCTGTATTCTGTAGTAATATTTATATAGTCATGCAGAATGACTTTCTTTCTTTTATCGAATATACGAAGACTGGAATCTTGTACGCAGAGTCATTATTTTGTCCCCTCCCCTTTTTTTAATTTTAAAGAAACTGATAAAAAATAAGTAACATGATTTTTAAATCGCACACACCTGACGCGTGCATGTCATCAGCTGAGTTGATACAGTTAATTAATCAGCTTAGAGACAATACTGAGAGACATCAATTAAGGCAAAAGAAGGGAATTGCCAATGTGAAAAAACTGAAAAAAGAAAAATGCGATGCAAACATAAAATGGACGCTACCAGTATACAAGGTTTTCAATGTAACACCAATGATCATCGGCGCCTATCTATTTAACGTAAAAGAGCAATTCTAAAACACTGCTAAAACATACTAACGGACAAATGGCAAAAATATGAAAAATGCTGTCATGAACTTTCGTAGAAAGATAAGGCCAATGGCTTTTTTTTTCGACATGGGCATTAATGGTTCCGAACAAAAGTGATTAAAAAATACTCAGTAACAGAAAACCTTTCTCCACCTCCCCCCCCCCCCCCCCCCCCCCCAAACCCCCCCCCCCCCCCCCCCCCACTCCCCCAGAATTTTTCCCTTTCCCCACTTCCATTTTCTAAGAGAAAAGCTCTGGGAACGAGCTTCCCGCAACCCTTTTGGTCGAAGGTAGGAAAGTATCTCTCTCCTCCTCCGAGGCTGCCGCTGGGTATCCCAATGAAAATAGCGATAATCGAAAAACAGCTCGCTGCGAACGATGAGAAGAGGGAAAAGGCGGGAGCCTCACCCTCTTCTCGATCTCTTTCCCCTTCCCATCGTGCCCCAAGCGCTCTCTTTTTCTTTCTTCCCAGTCTCCCCACAACACAAAGTAGACTGCGAGCAGTCTCTCTTCTTCCTCCGGTTTAGTAAGGGGAGTGCACGCGCGCGCGAGCGGCGAAGCCGCGAGACGCGCGAAACGAGGGCGTCATGTCTCGCGTTTTGCTCGACGGACTACAGAAAAAAGAGAGACTGCTCGTAGTGTAAACACAAAGAGGCTTCTGCAGAGGAGAGAGGGAAAGTATCAAGAAAAATGAGATGATGCCTAAAACTGATTGCACTTCAAAAAAGCTGCGGATCAAGAGAAATCGGATACTTAATTACCCTGCGAGCAGAAGCCCTTCGATCTTCCTAGATAAGCAAAGAGGAAGATCTCTTCCTCTTTCCCGACTTATCTAGGAAGGTCGAAGGGCCACTGATCGCAGGGTATCGGATACTAAGAATTCATTTAAATTCTCCGTGATTTCCAGAAACTTGCTCGACTGGCCCAAATCGGGACGTTGATTTCGGACTCACGCATCGGCGTAACTCGACAAAACGAAAAATTTTCGGACACGTTAGAAATCCGTAAAAATCACTTTTAGTGTTCACTTTAGACTAATATCATCTAAGACTAAATAAAAATCATATCAAATGTGTGTATTAAAAAGGTTCCCTTCATTACCCAGCTATTTTAAAGGCGCGGCAGGGTCACTTTGCGCTTGACAAGGTGAAATCGAAAGCAAGCACACAGGCAAAGGAGGCTTTAAATTTATACAAATAGAGTTGACGCCTATACAATTTTCGAAGCTGTGCCCACACTACAACCACTCAGCAACATGTTAAACTCACTTAACTTACCGAAATACCCTCCAATTCCCGCAAAAAAGCTCAGATGTTAATTGTCAATTCTAAACTTACCTCTAAATCTTTTTAATACAGCAAAAAAGCAATCCTCTAAACGGCTCTATTTGCGTTGCATTTGATTCTTTCTAAATGTTATTTGAGTCTTCACATTTTTGACGTGGCCTTAGAGTGCATATCTATACGAATTCGGATATGTTTTTATACTAACATATATTTTTTCAAAACGGAATCAGCCTTTCGCCGTTCACACGAAACCATCCAGTGATGCGCGCTCACCGAAACCGCTCTTTGTGAAACCTTTCTCCAGGGCGGTTTAAGGCACAGTCTACACAAACCCTGGAAAGGAAACCCATCGGACAGTTCCATGCGGAAATAATCGGAATATTGTGGACCAGGCCTAAAATGCTTGAAAAAAAAGTCGAGAATAATAAACAAAAGCCTACGCGTTTTTTATTTATTTGATGGTTTATCATTTGCATGTAGTTCTGATGAGAACAAATATGTAAATCATCATACTTCAAAGGTTTTTTTTCAATACAATAGATTCTCATTAATTTTTGCGAGTACTAAAATAGAATAATGAGTCAACTTTATTCACCCATGCGCAAATAACTCCAAATTGATTTTTGAAATTTCTTAACGGCATTGTAGTTTCGAGCTAGTCTATGCTGAACGATCCTGGTTCGCTTGTGTTTAAAGGATGTCTTATGAAAGTTACTGCTGCTAAAACCGTTCGTTCTATTGCAAGGTATTGCATTAGAACTGTACCAGAAACACAGTGAAGAAATTCAACTTGCGAAGCAATCTGGAAATTTGAAAGTGTAAGTGCTACAGCTTTACCTAATACTGTCATCACTATCATTTCTTGCCTTTCTCTTGTCTAAACGAATTGCCAACAAGCTGCCAAGTGCACGCTATTTAGACTGTGAACTTCTCTACTGAAAACTTCCAGAGCTTTTTATTTTAATCGGCAGTGGAATGTTTTTCCTTTTTCCTTTTCCTCAGTTTTGAGTCATCCTACCGCAAGTAAGATTCAATGGTTGAAGGATAAAGGAACGTAAAGAAGGGATGATCAGCTTATGGTCGAAAAACAAGCCAGGGATTTGTAGAGGTAACTATCCAAGTAAAAAGTCACCTTCACGGGGACAATCATAAACTGACAGATAGAACAGGTTTTAATATGGTGATAGAAAACTTGTTTTTTTTATGTAGGATACCTGAGGTTACTATGACTTCATCACACAGTTATATTACACCTGGCCGCGCGCTGAAGTTTGATTTTCTCTACACAATATTTGCTGCTGAGCCATTTTACATCAGTACACTCAATGTAATCATTACTGTTATACGAGCATTATTCCAATGAACAAAAAATTTAAATAGACTGCGACTTAAAGTTGTTATTACCTTTATATTTACTTCAATGTTTTTTAAACTGATTATTAAAAGTCCAACACATAAGAGCAAAATGGGACATGGGTTTTAGAGAAGAAAAAGTAGAAATTATATCGTCACAAATTGTCTTCTTATCCTACATATCATTTACTAAAATGAAAATCATTCCCTTAAATTTTCGCTTACTGGCGAGAGTAGTCCAAATTTTTATGTACGTACCTTTGCACTGTTTGGTTATCAACGCCTCAAACCAATTCTGTTTTTTATTTAAGTGTCTCGGCCGAATGAAGCATTTAGAGGGCACCCAGGCCCTCGGACAGGATTTTTTAAGATACTTGGATTTTCTCCCGGAGGATACTTCCTTATATAAGCCGTATAGGTATATGATGCCACCCCCAAAAGGGTATAGTTTTTGCCCTTTTTCGGTTTAAAGACGGGTATAAACTTTGTTTATTTTGTCCTGGAATCGGGTATGGTTTTCGAGGGAACTATAGGAGTGTAACAACGCATTTGTCGTTTCAATTCCAAGTGAATAAGAAAGGAAAAGAATTATACGAATTCTATGACAAAATTCATTTTGCTTCTAGAGGTCAGAACCGAAACTAAACAGGCGTGGAAAACGACATTTTTTGGTCTGAAATAGGGTCAGGATTTGAAGAACCGGGATTTTCTTCCACTCGCTTTAGGGTAGTAAATAATGCAAAAATGGCCATTGTCTGCCACGGTTTACACATTAGGGCGAGACGGCAATCGCCGAGATAGAGAGATTCAGCTTCTTTTTTTCTTTGCTATGTTGTTTTGCTCCATCCCATCTTTCTCTTTTTTTTTATACAATTCTTACAACTTACTTCAACGAATTCACAACTACCGCATTTATTCGAATAAGCGCCCAACCTCGAATTAGCGCCCACCTCGAATAAGCGCCCATCCTAAAGGCAGAAAAAGTTAATAAGCGCCCAGCCTCGAATAAGCGCCCCCTCTCAAGGTCCAAAAATTTAATAAGCGCCCAGGGCGGTTGATCGAATAACTAGTATATATCTTACTCAGTCCAACACATAAGACAAAAACGGGAATCTGATTGTCCCCGCTTTGAGTTAGATAATGCAATATTAATGGTTAGGGATTTTATACTAGCTAGGGCTAGGAGACACGGCCTGTGTTAGCTAATCACTGAATTCAAAAATCTAACACGATAAAATTTTGACTGCCAGATAAAGAGTATTTCAAAAAATCATATCCGACTTCTTCCCATGTTATGCTTTAACTAATTTTTTGTCATGTTCACTCATGCAGGTGACAATCTAACAGAAGTACAGTCCGATTAATTGTTCAAAAAGTGAGGACACAACTTAACTAGGAGATTTTGAAAACGTAAGTGCTTTTAACAACCCCGACCCCCACCTTTCTTTAGTGACTTTAATGAACCACGCCTACCCATATCTTGGCTGTTAACGTTACTACAAACTTGACAAAATGACTCATTTGGTAACTCTCGATAACTCGATGTTTTGTTCTTTGTTTTTCACCCAGTCATCCAGGCGAACTCAAATCATTCAAAATCGCTGAAATACCACTTTTGAGGCAAAAGGACAACAATGTACCATAGGTAAGGTAAGACAACGTTTATTTAACATTGATCTGTATACATAGTTAGCGATATAT